GGTCGAGGGTGTGGGTAACTTACCTTAATGACATACCTGAGCCCAGTGTTAGATAGGTATTATTTTCTACATACCTCCTACTTAATTCGAAACAGTTTAACACATGCGTGACTGAGTGAGTTTTGTTTAACGCCGCTTTTAACATTTATTCCAGTAATATCGCCGCGTGTTAGCTCAGTGTGGGAGGAAGGCCCAAAGTGATACAGGTTTCAGACGTTTACCACTTCGGTGAAACCAACGAGCACGGGAATGGTGCCGACAAACTTAGAAACATAATCGGGGCGAACCGGGTTTCGAACCCACAATCATAGGTTTCTGGCGTGCCCAAGCTTAAGGGACGTACAAGAGTTACATCTGACACACTACTTCAATACAGTGCCTTTGTAATATATTTATGTCATGGTTTGTTTTGTGAAGGAAAGAAGGATTTTTGTTGTTGGCGGGACATTACATTTTGAAGGCGGCGTCTGTTCTGTTGGTATAAGTTGGGAGTAGGTGTCTGGTGCTTTTTCACAATACCATCCCAGGTGCTGTTTTCAGTAGTCCAGTGAAACCGGACTGAGGAGTCCGATGAAAGTGGACCCTCCAGGCAAACATTAATTGGGAATAAGTATGTCTGAAGTCACTTTTGACTGGGTAAGCGTCAACTGATGGTTTAGCTGCTTCGCTGTACAACTGATGCGTAACCAGGGGAATGCTGCATTTCTTTACATGATGTAACAGTGAATAGCTATGGCAATTGGTGGTTCACGCTACGCATGTCTTGACGCGTACATCGCGATCGTTTAAAGCCATGCTCGAGGTCTCTGTTCCACATACATTTACATATTATCCTGAACAGATAAATGCCTATAACTGTTGCGCAATACAAACAGGAAAGTGTTAAGTGTTTCTCACATGTGGTCCGGATACACACAGATTACAGTGATATAACAGGCTCGCTGACTTGGTTGATGCATGTCATCGTATCCCAACTGCGTAGAACGATGCTTATGATGCCAATGACTGGATTGTCTGGTCGAGACTCGATTATTTATAGACCGTCGTTATATAGCTGGATTATTGCTGAGTGCGGCGTTAAACAACAAACAAACACACAAACAATCAAACAAACACTCGGTATTGGTATCACATAACCCTAAACGAACACTCTTGTCGGTTGAACGTTAGTCATCCTTTGATGTTACAATCATTGTACATGATACGAAACGTTTGTGGAGGATCATCTGTCTTATGTGCCACTGTCACTGGACCTTACTGCACAGTATAGCAATGATCACGTGACAGTCATGTCAGTTTCCTAATCAGCTAGAAGTTTCCGGCTTGGTATGTGACTGGCTAAGTGATGGATGTTTTTGTCCTGCGATGTCGCAAAAGTAAATTACATATGTGTGAGGAGTTTGACTTATACTGAATTTGGTTTAATATCGCTTTTAACAGTATTCCAGTTATATCACGGCGTGTCAGCTTAATGTGGGAGGAAAGCCCGAAGAGGTCTAAGACGTTTACCACTTCGGAGAAACCCACGATAAGGGGTATGGTGCCGACAAACCTAGAAACATAATCGGGGCGAACCCACAATCATAGGCTTCTGGCGTGTCCAAGGGACGCAACTCTGTACAGGGAATCACGGCGCCTAAGACGACAGGGCCACAAATGCCCCCTCATTACACGGAAAGTACCGGGTCATTAAGAAGAATAACATAACACAACGTTAGTACAGTGTTATAACATGATACCGCTTACACTCTTTGAACATAAATAATATGAATTTGTCAAAAGTGTTTAAAAAAAATGTTTAGCGATCAATATATATATATATATATATATATATATATATATATATATATATATATATATATATATATAGGTGATCACATTAAGTGACTAAGATAGGTGAACAAGAGAGATGCACAAAGTGGTTGCTCAAATTACAATTTAAGTGACACGATAGGTAACAAAAACAGGTGACCAAAGTAGGAGACCTAGACAGGTGACCAAGACAGGTAATCAAGACAGGTGACGAAGGTAGGTGACCAAGGCATGTGGCCAAAACATATGAACGGGACAAGTGACCAAGACAAATGACCAAGACATGTGACCATAACAGGTTATCAAGACAGTTGACCTAAACACGTGACCAAATTAGGCGTCCAAGACTAGTGACCTAGATTGTTGACCTATAAAGGTGACCAAGATAGGATACCTATACAGGTGACCAAGGTATGTGACCAAAACAGATGGACGAGACAAGTGACCAAGACAAGTGACCAACACATGTGACCAAGACACGATACACATAAAGGTGAGCAAGACCGGTGACCAAAACAGATGGACAAGGCAGGTGACCATGATAGGTGACCAAGGCATGTGACCAAGGCAGGTGACCAAGATAGGCAACCAAGGCAGGTGACCAAGACAGGTGACCAAGATAGGCGACCAAGGCAGGTGACCAAGGCAGGTGACCAAGATAGGTGATCAGAACAGATGGACAAGGCAGGTGACCATGATAGATGTCTGTGACAGGTGACCAAGACAAGTGACCGAGGCAGGTGACCAAGATAGGTGACCAAAATAGGTGACAAAGACAGGTGACCAGGGCAGGTGACCAAGACAGGTGACCAAGGCATGTGACCAAGGCAGGTGACCAAGATAGGCAACCAAGGCAGGTGACCAAGACAGGTGACCAAGATAGGCGACCAAGGCAGGTGACCAAGACAATTAATTCTTTTTGTTGAAAGAGATGTTTTTTTAAACAAAATGATTTAATTTTTATCATCCGTATATCCCAATGTTCCCATGAATCAACTAACAAAATAACTTACATTGGAGCCGACTATCTACAACAAAGTAGAGTTGATTAAAATAAAAACACAGTTAAATAAATAACTTTAAAACGTTAAATGAGTGCAGAGCCTCATCAACAGAATCGTACTCAATTTTTATTTATGTGCATGATTTTTGATGACACAGTGAATCAGTATCACAACCTCTCCCTTTCTAGGATAGAGCAGAATAAAGTCTGTTAACTTTAACTATTGCACAACTAATAACAATAGCTGGATTATCAGGTCAAGTGTTTATACAGGGAAGTTCATATTTCATAATTGTCACTGTTGTGAGTCATTCTACAGAGAAGAGTACAGCGGTTTCAGTTTGTTAGTGTGAAACAGCCTATACTGGTTGGCCTTTTTCCTGTTTCATTTTGTTCCTGCTAAAGTTTGTTTCGCGGTACAGTCGTGTGATGGTGAAGTTTGAGTGTCTGCTTGTATTGTCCTTGACACGAACTGGACTGACTGATTAACAAACTGACACAGTATGCTGTGTGTCTGTCGTGTTAATATGTAATCAAAGTTAGGTAAACATTAATTCCTAAACACTTGTTGAATATGTGTCCATTTTCATCACTGAACGAAATGTACATTTACATTGTGAGTGAGTGAGTTGATGGGTTGTGTTTAACGGCGCCTTGAAGGGTACATGTTATGGAATATCAGCTGAGGGAGGAAAACCAAATGACATATACGATTCTTTTGAAAGCAATGAGTATTTTTTTTCTCTAAAACAAGCTGAGAATCGAACCTGTGTCCAGTATTTCATAAAACATTCCAACATTCATCGTGCGTAGGGGCGCTCGTGTAGCCTAGTGGTTAAAGCATTCGCTCGTCAAGCTGAAGACCTGGGTTCGATTCCCGACAAGGGTACAATGTGTGAAATCCATTTGTAGTGTCACCTGTCGTGATATTGCTGGAATATTGCTTAAAACGGCGTAAAACCTCACTCGCTCACTAATCGTGTGTAATTAATGCATCCGTTCAGCGGTAATGCAATGTGGGATGCGTGGAGTAGCCTCATGTTCAAAGGTCGCTTATCACGATGACGGTCCGGTTTCGAGTCCCCATGGTACACTGTGTGAAGCCCATTACCGGTGTCCGGCTTCGGTCCATGCTTCAATGATGTTGCTCACACACTCACTAAAGAAACTCGGGTCATAAATATTTTCATAAGGTGATATAATATCAGTGAACTAAGCACGGAAGGTGGCGATAGCTTGTTATGCAGTATTTTGTCTCTATACAAATCTCAGTTTCATAGGTTGCCTTCGTCATTTCCCCGAGAATGGTCCTGCTGAACAGGTGGATGGGGCAGTTTTGTGTCTGTGTGGGTTACTTTATAACCGGATTTAACTCAGTTGACGGTAACATTTGTTTAAACTTTCAAACAATGATTTATCCATTTAGCTATATTAGTGGTCCAACATAGGTTTGTCTCTCATATCGATTCAGTTTGGGTAGGTAAATCCGATTCTTGTGTAAACAAATTTAACTAAGGATGTAGATATGTTTGAGCCGACCATCATTATAAGGTGAGGTGAAATGGGGTTTCACGTCTTTTGCGCATTCTTTCAAATATTTTCCCATTACGCGATGTTAGTTGTCCAACGTAGGTTTGTCGTTCAACTTGGGGTAGCTATCACCTATTCCTGGGTAAACACATTTAACCAAAAAGAAGAAGAAATGTTTGAATTATATAAACTCTTTATTCAATGAAACGAGACACTATCATTCATCTGCCAACTAGAATAGGACCGCCGTCGAGGTCTAGTGGATCGAGGGTCTGCCTTGAGAGCTGAGGCCGGTGGTTCGATCACCTGCTTGTATCCTACCAAAACACGTTCAAGGATGGTACTTGATGTTTCCCTGCCTAGAGCCTGGCATGGTTCACGTTGTTTCCCTGCCTAGAGCCTGGCATTCAGGGGATAAAAATAGATCTGGTCGATTTGGAATCAGTATATTGTGTGTGAGTTGGGTAATCATGTCAAACTGCGGGTGGTATCTCAGTGTGGCTAGCACTACAAAACCTGCATTAGTCCGGACTAACACACATGAAGGTGCACGCGTGTTGATCTCATGAATCTTGATTCTTGTGGCATTTTGCTTTTCAAATATGTTGTATCAGGTTCTAAACGTTTTGTTTCTGCTTCAGCTGGGTATGAAGGAAGTGTTTATGTTCAACATGGAGGTGCTGTCAACATGACGTTAACATTGCCACAGCCTGGAGTCCGGGAAATGACTGTGATACTTGATCGTACTCTACCCCTGATCCATGTCACTAACTACAGCACCGTGAGTGTCACTGACACATACAAGTCGAGAACAAAATTCACTGGACTGATAGACTCACAAGGCCAGGGGCGTCTCAGTTTTCTACTGTCTGGTGTATATTGGTCTGACGGTGGGGACTACAGATGCTATACAGGTTCGCCAGAATTGAGAGGACGCTTTATTGAAGGCTGTGTGAAGACTGTTGTTGTCATAGGTGAGTGTCCGGGTTATCCGATGACAGTGGTATCTATGTATATCATCGTTGTATGTTTACACCTCTAAATAAAATTAATATTCTGTTGAGACAGAGTCTCAGGTCCAACCATACATCTTCAAATGCCATTTAAATTGGTGGATGATAAATATATATAAACCTCTGTCAATACATTTATTTGCTGATTGAAACCAATGTGATACTGTTCCATACGCACCCGATAACGTCAGTTGAAACTCGGATTGACATACCAGATTCTCAGCATCATTATAGAAGTGTTATACCCGTACGTGCAGGTGTAGGTGTAGGTGTAGGTGTAGGTGTAGGTGTAGGTGTAGTGTAGGTGCAGGTGCAGGTGCAGGTGCAGGTTTCAGGTGCAGGTGCAGGTGCAGATGCAGGGGCATGTTTCAGGTCTAGGTGTAGGTGTAGGTGCAGGTGTAATGTAAGTGCAGCTGCAGGTGCAGGGGCAGGTGCAGGTGTAGTGTATGTGTAGATGTAGGTGCAGGTGTAGGTGTAGGTGTAGGTGTAGGTGTAGGAGCAGGAGCAGGTGCAGGTGTAGTGTATGTGTAGATGAAGGTGTAATGTAGGTGCAGGAGCAGGTTCAGGTGTAGTGTATGTGTAGATGTAGGTGTAATGTAGGTGCAGGAGCAGGTGCAGGTGCAGGTGTAGTGTATGTGTAGATGTAGGTGTAATGTAGGTGCAGGAGCAGGTGCAGGTGCAGGTGTAGTGTATGTGTAGATGTAGGGGTAATGTAGGTGCAGGAGCAGGTGCAGGTTCAGGTGTAGTGTATGTGTAGATGTAGGTGTAATGTAGGTGCAGGAGCAGGTGCAGGTGCAGGTGTAGTGTATGTGTAGATGTAGGTGTAATGTAGGTGCAGGAGCAGGTGCAGGTGCAGGTGTAGTGTATGTGTAGATGTAGGTGTAATGTAGGTGCAGGAGCGGGAGCAGGTGCAGGTGTAGTGTATGTGTAGATGTAGGTGTAATGTAGGTGCAGGTGCAAGAAAGGTGCAGGTGTAGTGTATGTGTAGATGTAGGTGTAATGTAGGTGCAGGTGCAGGAGCAGGTGTAGGTGTAGGTGTAGGTGTAGGTGTAAGTGTAAGTGTAGCTGTAGGTGTAGTGCAGGTACAGGTGCAGGTGGAGGTGCAGGTGCGGGAGCAGGTGCAGGTGTAGTGTATGTGTAGATGTAGGGGTAATGTAGGTGCAGGAGCAGGTGCAGGTGTAGTGTATGTGTAGATGTAGGTGTAATGTAGGTGCAGGTGCAGGAGCAGGTGCAGGTGTAGTGTATGTGTAGATGTAGGTGTAATGTAGGTGCAGGTGCAGGAGCAGGTGCAGGTGTAGTGTATGTGTAGATGTAGGTGTAATGTAGGTGCAGGTGCAGGAGCAGGTGCAGGTGTAGTGTATGTGTAGATGTAGGTGTAATGTAGGTGCAGGTGCAGGAGCAGGTGCAGGCGTAGTGTATGTGTAGATGTAGGTGTAATGTAGGTGTAGGTGTAGGTGTAGGTGTAGGTGTAGTGTATGTGTAGATGTAGGTGTAATGTAGGTGAATGTGCAGATGCAGGTGTAGGTGCAGGTGCAGGAGCAGGTGCAGGTGTAGGTGTAGGTGTAGGTGTAAGTGTAAGTGTAGCTGTAGGTGTAGTGCAGGTACAGGTGCAGGTGGAGGTGCAGGTGCGGGAGCAGGTGCAGGTGTAGTGTATGTGTAGATGTAGGGGTAATGTAGGTGCAGGAGCAGGTGCAGGTGTAGTGTATGTGTAGATGTAGGTGTAATGTAGGTGCAGGTGCAGGAGCAGGTGCAGGTGTAGTGTATGTGTAGATGTAGGTGTAATGTAGGTGCAGGTGAAGGTGTAGGAGCAGGAGTAGGTGTAGGTGCAGGTGCAGGAGCAGGTGTAGGTGTAGGTGTAGGTGTAGGTGTAAGTGTAAGTGTAGCTGTAGGTGTAGTGCAGGTACAGGTGCAGGTGGAGGTGCAGGTGCGGGAGCAGGTGCAGGTGTAGTGTATGTGTAGATGTAGGGGTAATGTAGGTGCAGGAGCAGGTGCAGGTGTAGTGTATGTGTAGATGTAGGTGTAATGTAGGTGCAGGTGCAGGTGCAGGAGCAGGTGCAGGTGTAGTGTATGTGTAGATGTAGGTGTAATGTAGGTGCAGGTGCAGGAGCAGGTGCAGGTGTAGTGTATGTGTAGATGTAGGTGTAATGTAGGTGCAGGTGCAGGAGCAGGTGTAAGTGTAGGTGTAGGTGTAGGTGTAGGTGTAGTGTATGTGTAGATGTAGGTGTAATGTAGGTGAATGTGCAGATGCAGGTGTAGGTGCAGGTGCAGGAGCAGGTGCAGGTGTAGGTGTAGGTGTAGGTGTAGGTGTAATGTAGGTGAATGTGCAGATGCAGGTGTAGGTGCAGGTGCAGGTGCAGGTGTAGGTGTAGGTGTAGGTGTAATGTAGGTGAATGTGCAGATGCAGGTGTAGGTGCAGGTGCAGGTGCAGGTGCAGGTGCAGGTGCAGGAGCAGGTGTAGTGTATGTGTAGATGTAGGTGTAATGTAGGTGAATGTGCAGGTGAATGTGCAGGTGCAGGTGTAGGTGCAGGTGCAGGTGCAGATACAGGTGCAGGTTTCAGGTGTAGGTGCAGGTTTCAGGTGTAGGTGCAGGTTTCAGGTGTAGGTGCAGGTTTCAGGTGTAGGTGCAGGTTTCAGGTGTAGGTGCAGGTGCAGGTGTAGGTGTAGATGCAGGTGTAGGTGTAGGTGTAGGTGTAGGTGCAGGTGCAGGTGAAACTTTGGATATCATTCATTTTAACAATAAATTCAGACTGTTTGTCAATTTCCGCAAAAGGTGTTGAGGACCTAAACATCACTGCCCCAGACAAAACCAAGACGAGCAGCAGCCTAACATGCCGTGGTACCATCAGGAGATACCCCGGCTACCCCCCTGTGAACGTGTCCTTCATCTGGAGGAAGAATGGCGTCCAGTTACATACTCCTGAAAGCTGTAACGTTATAGCCTATAGTGTGAGACGGTACATTCGACTCTACACCAGTACATTGCCCATCGGTGATGTTGGAAATGATGGTGATGAATACATGTGCCGGATACAATTGGGGAAGAGCTTCCTGTCTAACTGGAGTCAGGAGTATGTTCTGGAAAGAGAGGGTGAGTAGATGTTTCAAAGATGGTTTGTTATCACTGGTTTCCAGACAGTGCTGTTAAGCGTCAAGCTCGGATCACTGATCTATGGAATTGCTACAGGATATAATATTTGTTTCGTAATTGTGTAATGTGAACACATAGTAGCGGGATGTAATATTTGTTTCGTAATTGTGTAATGTGAACACAGAGTAGCAGGATGTAATGTCTGTTTCGTAATTGTGTAATGTGAAGACATGGTAGCAGGATGTAATGTCTGTTTCATAATTGTGTAATGTGAACACATGGTAGCAGGATGTAATGTCTGTTTCATAATTGTGTAATATGAAGACATAGTAGCGGGATGTAATGTCTGTTTCGTAATTGTGTAATATGAACACATAGTAGCAGGATGTAATGTCTGTTTCGTAATTATGTAATGTTAACACATGGTAGCAGGATGTAATGTCTGTTTCGTAATTGTGTAATATGAACACATGGTAGCAGGATGTAATGTCTGTTTTGTAATTGTGTAATGTGAAGACATAATAGCAGGATGTAATATCTGTTTCGTAATTGTCTAATATGAACACATGGTAGCAGGATGTAATGTCTGTTTCGTAATTGTGTAATATGAACACATGGTAGCAGGATGTAATGTCTGTTTCATAATTGTGTAATGTGAACACAGAGTAGCAGGATGTAATGTCTGTTTCATAATTGTGTAATATGAAGACATAGTAGTGGGATGTAATGTCTGTTTCGTAATTGTGTAATATGAACACATAGTAGCAGGATGTAATGTCTGTTTCGTAATTGTGTAATGTTAACACATGGTAGCAGGATGTAATGTCTGTTTCGTAATTGTGTAATATGAACACATGGTAGCAGGATGTAATGTCTGTTTCGTAATTGTGTACTGTGAAGACATGGTAGCAGGATGTAATATCTGTTTCGTAATTGTGTAATGTGAACACATGGTAGCAGGATGTAATGTCTGTTTCATAATTGTGTAATATGAAGACATAGTAGCGGGATGTAATGTCTGTTTCGTAATTGTGTAAAAGAACACATAGTAGCAGGATGTAATGTCTGTTTCGTAATTGTGTAATGTTAACACATGGTAGCAGGATGTAATGTCTGATTCGTAATTGTGTAATGTTAACACATGGTAGCAGGATGTAATGTCTGTTTCATAATTGTGTAATGTTAACACATAGTTGCAGTTTGAAATGTTTGTAACAGAATGCAAAATGTCTCCCGAATTTGCTTTTTAAGAATCAATTATCATATTTGATTGTATAATGCCTAAATTTGAGATTTTACTGCATTGACGCCCATGATTTACGCACGCGATGTGTCATCTTTCATTTGCGAGTCATCATTACTTTTTATTTGATGGTGGTGCGATGTTAATTGATTATTAAAGAATCAATGGAATGTGGATTGCTGTTTGATACAGTAATATATATCCTTACATTACAGCCAGTATCACCACCATTCCGTGTGCAGACGAATCAACGACCGAGAAGGATCATACGCGTAAGCAAGAAAACATAGATATAACCACTATCTGGGGTACAGTCAGAATCGTATAATGATCTCTGCTTTTGGCAGAGTTCTTATGATTATGGTAATGGTGTTGTAGCTTTTATATAGTTTATCAACATTATTATCTTATCAACATTATTATCTTATCAACATTATTATCTCATACACATTATCATTTTATGAGCACTATTATTTTATCAGCATTATTATCTTATCAAAATTATAATTTTATCAACATTATTATTTTACCAAAATCATTAGTTTATCATCATTATTATCTTATCAATATTATTATCTTTCCAACTTCATTAGTTTATCAACATCATTAGTTTATCAACATTATTATCTTATCAACATAATTATTTTACCAACATCATTAGTCTATCATCATTATTATCTTATCAATATTATTATCTTACCAACTTTATTTGTTTATCAACATCATTAGTTTATCGACATTATTATTTTATCAACATTATTATCTTACCAACAATATTAGTTTATCAAAATCATTAGTTTATCAACATTATTATTTCATCAACATTATTATCTTATCAACAAAAGCATGTGAAACTATTTGGAGCATGCCTTCGCGAGTGATCATTTTTATGACATTTGAACACACCTATTGTTTGATTCCCATATGAAGTGAATGGCATCTGCACCCAATAACGGTTTACCTGTAAAAGCATATACAGTTATTTCTTTTAAGAGTGGATATTTATACTAGAGCGTGCTGTTTCATTTGTAGCAACAACCGGTGCACCATCAATGACCACCGCAGCGACCGATAGAAAAGGGTGGATATTGCATCTAGGATATGCTACATTTCTAGGTGCTCTTTTTCTGGTAGTCATCTTCACTATTTACAACAGGTAAAACATATTGTGGCAAATTACCAGTTTGTTCTTTTTTTTCTGCATAGGCAATAATCCGTGTCTCTGAACAAGAGAACAACTATCAGCATGTGTTCATATGGATCATGTCTAATACAATTTGTACATAAGTGCTGTGCACATTATGTTCAGTGATAATATATATTGTGTGTAGTGATAATATTCTGTTCGTCGGAAATTCTTGAATTAATAGATATACGAAAACTTATTTGTTAGTTCTTAAAGTAAGTTCATGTTATATACACTTTAGATGCGTTTATTGTTATTCAGAACATTACAACGCACCATCTCCAGCTTTCCTTCCACACTGTTGTAGGGAATGAAATTTAAGGCAATATTTCTGTACGCAGTCATGTATTCAACAACCGCAGCTGATAAACACATTTTTCAAACCATGTCACAATTACGACTGACCGCAGACAGAAGGACAAATGTCACAATTTTCACATTACTCCAAATCATCACTTTAGATGCGTTTATTGTTACACATCATCTCCAGCTTTCCTTCCACACCCCATGATACAACGCATATGTTGTTCAAAGTGGTTTTAAGCCTCTCTCGCATACAGCTTTTGGTTAATAACCCTCAACACAAATAACGACCCGTAAAGATAAGATGTAGAATAGGTCTTCAGCAACTCGTAAGAGGCGTTTAACGGGATCGGGCGATGAGGCTCGTTGATGCATGTCTCCGATCCCAATCGATGCTCATGATGTCAATGACTGGATTATCTGATCCAGACTCGATTATTTACAGACTGCCATCATATAGCTGGAATATTGCTGAGTGCGACGTTGAACAACAAACAAAAACAATAACGACAAAGAACAGTTTAAGGCTGCTGCTCTTTTAATATTGTTATATTAAATTTAATCACCATTGTATTATATTCTTTTTCAGGACAGCGTTATGTGATCTGTGCAGGACGTCAGAATGTGAACACGTTCATTACACAAAGGACAGCTTACCAAGCAATAATTCTGAAATTGGTAGAGTTACATCCGTTGTGCCACTGCGTGTATGCACTGCTACAGCAGGACCTAATGCATCTGCAGGTGTAGAGATCCATGTTATAAGTTCGCCGACAGAGCCTACTGACGCAGTGAACACAAAATACCAATGTGGAGATACTTACCAGTCACGTGAAAACTATGAAACAATATATGGAGATATAACTGTTGTAGCACAGCACATCTCGAACGCAAAATGATGAATAACACCACTTCAAATATCAAAAGGAGGGTAAAAGGATATAAATAGAAACTTTGCTGTAACTAGGTTCCTGAACTAAGACAAAATTGTTATGGATGAGCAACTTCTTTATTACAATTGAGCGACGTTTCGGTGTAGATTCTAACACCGTTATCAAGCAAATGATCATCAGTTACCATTCCAACTTCTAAATGCCACTCAAAGAAGTTAGGTTCCTGAACAATTCCAGAGTCAAACGCTGATATATTAACGATGTATTTTCTAAAGGATGGATTTTTTTTTTAAGTGTGTAGGGTCAAACGCCACTTTCGCAATATCAGAGCAATGCAACGGTGGGGAACACCAGGTATAGACTTCACAATATGTTGTTGATCGAACCTGGGTACGCAGCGAGGAAAAAACTATGAAACCTCCTACCTAACGGATCTAGGAAAATAAGAAGTGGGGCAGGATACGCTCAAACGTTTCGTGAAGATCTGGTATCATCACTATTTGATTGGACGGTGAGTCATGGACAAGTGCTCACGGAATCGTACAATCGACCTCCTTGTGTGTTACACCTTTTACATAACACTCTTTAGGAAATACTTCATTCCTTGATCATTGGGCACATGTTACTAAACGTGGTGACCGTAGATATGGTTATCCATCCATCTTCAGAGGTTCAGGACAATTTGCCAAAAATGAAAGCAAATACCATCTGAAGTTTACTGAGAAAACACTATGAGAAATGATAATATCTATGTAACATTTGGGGGTATGACATTTAGGTATAGGCATCCCATGGACACCGATTGTCCTCCCTTCTTGCTGATCCGTTTCTTCATGCACGTGAAACGAAATTACTGCTCGGATTGGTCAAATATAACTTTGGACAAGAGGTTTAACTCAGCTTATAAACCTATCATGGTGTTGTAACCATCTCCAAGACGACCTTTCTTTTGTAGTAAGACCACTCAGCAGGTTTTCCAATTGCTCCTCGGGTTTTACAATTGCTCCCCAGGTTTTACAATTGCAATAGTAAAACCAGGGGAGCAATTAGAATTTTCATCAATTAACTTACTTTGAGTAAGGAAAATATCGTCATCGTCAGACATCCTCTCTTGTGAACAGTCAACGACACAATGCCATGTGGTACGACGCACGCGGTTCTTTCTGCACGTACAGCCCTCTTCTGCACGTGCAGTCCGCGCAGCGGCCCGCGATAACAACTGTTATAAAGCGTGTCTCGTTATACCGCGCTTATTTGCGACCCGTATACCGCGTAAATATAAGCTCCAAAAATGACATAGATTAATGGATAGCGGTTTATAAGTTAGACAAACCATTCCACCTCAGGAATGGTATGATTGAATAACCGGGTAGGCACAGAAAAGCCTGCGCCTATCCGGTTATACAATCATACCATTCCTGAGGTGTCATGGTTTCTCCATTACTTCACCTATATCTGATGTTGTTCAATAACCACCAAGAAGGCAATTCCCTTTCACTTATTTACCCACCTGAACTAGAAAAAAGAATACAAGTGAGGCAGCCTCGTCTGTTTCAATCTATGCATACAGATTCAGAGTGACAAAACATTTTACACAAGACCGATTGTAAGAGGGATGACTTCAACTTTCAAATAGTCACCTTTCCCTTCATGTCGAGCAATATTCCTGCAGCCCCAGCCTTTGGTTTTTACATTTTACAACTTTTGAGATACAATCGAACATGCTCTTTCTGCCAAGACTTCACAGAGCGTCATACGACTCTTGATGAGAAGTTGCCAAATCAAGATTACAACATTCAAGGCCTCAGATAATATTTTAATTTTTTTTATGGAAGACATGTGCATGACAATTCCAAATTTGACGTATCTGTGACACAAATGATGTCCGATCCAATTCCCTAATTTGACTTGTAACATATGCTCGCTTTTGGTGTGTTTGTGACGGGTGACACTGGTGGGGCAGGATACACTCACATTTTTAACAGTGATTCATTGGCGCATGCTCATGGTGTGGTCTGAATTGTACTATTGACTCTGCTTTTGGCAGATATTTATTATGAATATGCAAAGGGTTTTGTCGTATATAATTATATAAATGTGGATAGGATTTTGTCGCTGTAGTTATTCAAACTTCAGTGGATTGAGAGTGTACAGTTCACTTGAATAGACTATTACGAGTCAAGTGTTTCAATAGACTTTCTTCCGTGTCATTTTCTCGAGAAAAGTTATTTTTTATGTGTGTCACAAGGAAATTAATGACAATGAAAACTAACTTTAAAAAAAATATTTTTAACTGAATATTTTGCCTTGAATAATGTCCGTAATTTCGAATTGTGGTAAAACAGCTGTTAATATTAGACAGGCAAAGACATCAAATAAAAAAACAACAAACATGTTTTGGTGAAGTAAAATGGGGTTAATGTTAAATGGGGTTAAAGTATACTATTTCACTTTCACAATTATATGCATGCACGCGCGCATGTTTGTGTATATGTTTGAGTGTGTGTTTGTTTGTGTGTTTGTGTATGTGTGTGTGTATGTGTGTGTATATGTTTTTGTTTGTGTGTGTGTATGTGTGTGTGTTTGTTTGCGTGTGTGCGTGCGTGAAGCCGCTTGTACTAGTCCGGAATAATGCCAGTTGTATAGTGCTAGCCCACTGAGATACCATGACGCAGCTTAACATGAATATCTCACACAGTTTACTGACTGCGAGTCGACCAGTCCTTATTTTTATCCCCATAATGCCGAACACAAGGCAGGGTAACAAAAAGTATCATCCGATAACATCTTTTGGTATGACGCGGCCGGGTATCGAGCCCCCGACCTCTCTCCGCGCAGACGCTCCACCAACAAGACCACAGGGTCTTTAGTTACATGTTGAACATCGCATTAGTGGGACATGCATTTGACGGCGGTATGGATGTTTTTGCTGTAATGATGCCCTTGTTTCAGGAATGTTTCATGTGATGGTCTTGTGTATTAAATTTCATTGTTGATATTACTCGTTTCCCTTTTTAAAATAAAGTTTTTTATTGCACGAAAAGACTTTCGGTTTTATGTATTACGTCCGTGTATCTCGTCCCTGTCATGAATCACATCACAAAACAATTTACATTAAAACCACCATCCACAAACAGTAAAGCTGAATGTTTCTCAACAGCTTCATGAACAGAAACGTACATAAACTTTATGTGGGGTGAAATGGGGTTAAACTCGCGCGAACGATTATTGCACTTACATAGCGACGTGCATGCACGTGTGCGTGTATGTGTGTGGCTGCTTTTAAGTCCCGACAAATGCCGATTTATAGCGCCTGCCCACCGAGAAAAAATGACACAGTTTAACATGAATAATACCCCACTCAGACACTGTACACTGACTCCGAGCCGACCAGTTCTTGTTTTAGCCCATTAATGCCGAGCGCCAGACAGGGTCACAACAAGTACCAATTTTGAGCGGCTTTTGGTATGACGCGACCCGGGATCGAGCCCCAGAACTTTGGCTCTTCGGACGGACGCTTTATCAACTAGACTAAGGAGGTATCAGGAAATTTTAAACAGTGCACTAGTCTGACATGTGATATTAACGTTTTTGCTGTAACAATTTCCTTGTTTTTAGATTCATGTCCATATACACATGTTGCGTATAAAATAAGGTAGTTGATATTAGTCAAGTTCCCCTTTCAGAATAAATTATTCTTTTTATTGCATGAGTTGACTTTCGGTTTTCTGTTATCGTCCGTATATCCCGTGGCTGCCATGAATCAAATAACAAAATAAGTTACATTGTAAACGACCATCCACAAATAAGTAAAGCTGAATGTTTTTCAACAGTTACAAGAGCAGAGTTTCATGAACACAAACGTACATACAATTTATGAGCACGCTCTCTGATGACATGATCATTCTGTATCACGGTATCACGAACAGCCGGAAGACAGATTGGCAGCTGTACGCAGCTGTTAACATTAAAGGTATTCAACAGCACATGCCAATAGCTGACTTAACTGTTCAAGCATCCGTTGTTTGTTTGTTGTTTAACGCCGCACTCAGCAATATTCCAGCCATATGACGGTGGTCTGAAAATAATCGAGCCTGGACCAGACAATTGTTCAAGTATTCATACGGGGAAGTTTGTATTTCAAAAGTGTGGCTGTTGTGTCATGCACCGCTTTCAATTTGATATGTGAAACAACTTATACTGGGGTATCTTTTTCCTCCTACATCTCACACGATAAAATCTATATCGTGTTGCAGGCGGGTGTTGGGTGAGTACATGTATGCGCGTCTGTATTTTCCTGTACACTAACTGGACTGAGTGATTAACAAACTGTCAAGGTATGTCGTTGTTAACATGTAATTAAAGTTTAGTAAATATAAATTTCTAGAGGCATGCTGAACAAGCACCCATGGAAATTTCCATTGTGAGTGGGTGAGTGAGTTGGGTTTAACGTCGTGTTAATAGCATTCCAGTTACATCACGGCGTGTCAACTTAATGTGAGAGGAAAGCCCGAATTGATGAGGTCTCTGACGTTTACCACTTCGGTGAAACCCACGAGCACGTGTGTTGACAAAATATACGTGTGCTCGTGGGTTCGAACCCAAAATCATAGTTTTCCGATCTGACCAAGGCACGCAACGCTGCACAGCGAATGGCGGCGCCTAAGACGACTGGGCCACCCGTTGCCTCCATTTACATTGTTAGTGAGTGAGTGAGTGGTATTTTCGCTCGCCTTGAAGTTTTGGAATATCAGCTAAATGATGAGGAAAGGCCCCAATGACATATACACTGCTGAAACCAATGAGCGAGGGTGTTTCTCTGCAAATCAAGGATAATAATCAGATCGAATCAGAGAATCGAAACTATCGTCACCGGATCCTGGCGAGGGACTTATGTAAATTGGAGTCGCAAAATATGGCGTTATGATCATCCTCGTACGTACTTCCATCGTAGAGTTAGTGCAGTGATAATGCAGTATGTTTTTGTTGTTGTTAGTTTAACGCCACACTCAGCAAAATGTCAGTTGTATGCCGGCGGTATGTAAATCATCGAGACTGGTCAAGCCAATCATATAATCGACATCATGAACATCGACCAACTCATTTGGCATAAAATGACATGGATCAACAAAGTCAGCGAGCCTGACCACCCGATTCCTCTTACGACAAAGAATAACCGCATGGGTTGCCGAAGACCATTTCTACCCTGGGCCCTTCACGGGTCTAAAGCAGTATGGGAAGGTTCGGTAGCGTCCTTGTCAAAGCGTCGCCTGTCGCACTGAAGGTCCGTTTTCGATTCCCACATGGGTACATTGTGCCTCCCCCGACGATATAGTGTTTGAACACAATGGAATCTGCCTAAATTGACATGAAAGGGTTTGAAGGGGAGCTAAGTCCGGTTTGGACAGCACTCCTGATCAGATAGATCCTACGGAATCGCACACACAATCTATATCTCATTTTCATATTTTCATAGGTTTCCTCGTCATTTACACAAGAAAACTCCTGCTGAACACTTGGATGGGGCCGTCATCGATTCAGCTGTTTTGTATCTTTGTGGCTTACTTCATAACCGGATTTTGCTCAGTTGACGGTAACATTTGTTCAAACTTTCAAAAATATATTTCATGTTGGGTAGGTATATCCGATTCTTGCGTAAACACATTTAACTTAGGAGGAAGATATTTTTGAACCGACCGTCATTATAACGTGAGGTGAGGAGAGAATGGGGTTGAACGTCACGTCCTAGATTATTGCATTTATATAGCGACATGCATGCCGATTTTATAGTGCTAGCCCACTGAGATACCATGTCCCCGTTTGACATGAATACCCTACTCAAACACTGTGAACTTACTCCGAGCCGATCAGTCTTTGTTTTAGACCTGAGCGCCAGACAGGGTATCACCAAGTACCATCTTTTAACGTCTTTCGGTATGACGTGGACGGGGATCCGACCCGGACTTTCCGCTCTCCGGGCGAGGCTCTACCACTAGACCACGAAGGCGGTCACGTCAGTTAAAACTCTGTATGGCCAGAGGCTTAAAGAAACAAACCAGCCATTAACAGAGAGCATTCATCTACCTACTAACCTGCTACAATTACACCGCTGCCATGGTCTAATTGATAGAGCGTCTGCTAAGAAAGCAGAAGGTTGGTGGTTCGATCCCTGGCCGAGTCTTACCAAAATATGACATTTTTTGTTACCCCGCCTGACGCTCGTCCTTAAGGGAACATAACAATGACTTGTCGATTCGGAGTCAGTTTACTGTGTCTGAGTTCCATTTGAAGATGAAGAGAAATTCATCTCCAGTGTCAAAACTATGCACAACTGTCTTGAACGTTCATTAAATGGAGTTTTATTCAATCTTCCGGTTTCTATAGGTAGACGATGACAAGATGTCCTAAAGAATAGCAATTTGAAGGATTATTGGAGAGGAATGTTTATTAAATATGTTTCAAGTTTCGATTATAAAATACGATATGAGGGGCATTTACTAGGATTTGAGATTCCCGCTTTCCAAGATTGCCAATATGTGAGAGAGATTTGGAGACATATGGTCTTTACCAGGACACAGCTCACCTCAGTTGCATTTCCTTTGAAATAGCCCTAAAACAATATTAATTAATACCAATAATTAAATTAATATTCCGCCTTTACCACTATTTCTAACTTAAATATATTGTATGAAATTCTAAATATTTTTGTTCTGCTTCAGCTGGTCATGAAGGAACTGTTTATGTCCAACATGGAGGCGCTGTCAACCTGTCGTTAACATTGCCACAGCCTGGAGTCCGGGAGATGACTGTGAGACATGACATAATACAACCCCTGCTCCATGTCACTGACTACAACACCGTGAGTGTCAATGAGACATACAAGTCGAGAACACAATTCACTGGACTGATAGACTCACAAGGCGACGGGGGTCTCAGTTTTCTACTGTCTGGTGTAGATTGGTCTGACGGTGGCGACTACAGCTGCTACACAGGTTCGCAAGATTTGAGAGGAAGCCTTATTGAAGGCTGTGTGAAGACTGTTGTTGTCATAGGTGAGTGTCTGACAATAGTGGGGCTCATATTTGTTTGTTTGTTTGTTTGTTTGGTGTTTAACGCCGCATTCAGCAATATTCCAGCTATATGACGGCGGTCTGTAAATAATCGAGTCTGGACCAGACAATCCAGTAATTGACATCATGAACATCGACCCTAGCGATTGGGATACGATGACATGCATCAACCAATTCAGCGAGCCTGACTGCCCGATCCTGTTAGTCGCCTCTTACGGCAAACATCGGTTGCTGAAGACCTATTCTACCCCAGATCTTCCCAGAGTCAATGGTACTTATATATCCCTTGTATTTACAACATGTAAGTACTTATTTGTTATGTAAAAGTAAAATCGGAATGTTCGCCTAAATCTGCATCAACATACTTTTATATCGATTTTTGTTTAAAAAAGACACAAAATAAATTGAGGAATCAGAAATGAATACAAACTTTGTCGAGACATGCATTTTGTTTGTGCTGACTGTAAAACACGTACATCAATTACCTGAACACCAGATGATGTCCTTGGTCTCGTGTAACCACACAAAGTACACTTCAGTCAATGAGAACATCTTTTAAATTAGGATTGACATCATGGCTTCACAGCCTCAGCATTATTGTTGTACCTGTACGTTTATCGATGTTAACTTTGAATACCATTTTAATAGTGAATTCTGGTATTTTGTTCATTTCTGCCAAAGGTATTGAGGACCTTAACATCACTGCCCCAGACAAAGCCAATGCGAATAGCAACTTGGTATGTCAAGCTACCATTAGGTTCTGCCCTGGCATCCCGCCTGTGAACGTGTCCTTCATCTGGAGGAAGAATGGCGTCCAGCTAGACGCCCGAGACAGCTGTAACTATACGACAGCGAGGGCGAGTCGGTGCAACTTTGTCCGCAACTACACCAGTACCTTGCCCATCGGTGATGGGGAGCATGATGGTGATGAATACACGTGCAGGATAAAGTTAGGAAATAGCTTCCTGTCAAACTGGAGCCAGGAGTATGTTCTGGGAAGGGAATGTGAGTAGTTGTTTCATTTTATGACCAACATGGTTTGTTATGATCGGTTTCCAGTACTGCTTAAAACTACTAAAGGGTCAAGCGATATTACCATCACCCTTCTGTATGTTAAGTTTGTTTTGTCCCTTTAATACCGAATGTCAGGCACGGTAACAACAAGTATCATCTTAAAACGTATTTTGGTGTGACGCGGCCAGAGGATCGAACCACCGACCTCCCGCTCCCGGGAAGACGTTTGATCCACCAAATCACATTCTGAAAATAGTGGCACGTGTACCTGTTGGACTCCAAGGCTGTCTTGCTGTCATACATCTACATGTCATACATCTACATGTCATACATCTACATGTCATACATCTACATGTCATACATCTACATGTCATACATCTACATGCCATACATCTACATGTCATACATCTACATGTCATACATCTACATGCCATACATCTACATGTCATACATCTACATGTCATACATCTACATGCCATACATCTACATGTCATACATCTACATGTCATACATCTACATGCCATACATCTACATGCCATACATCTACATGTCATACATCTACATGCCATACATCTACATGCCATACATCTACATGTCATACATCTACATGCCATACATCTACATGTCATACATCTACATGCCATACATCTACATGTCATACATCTACATGTCATACATCTACATGCCATAAATGTATATGTACCTATATCTTCGACCAGGGTAGTGTGTTATTTTAATGTCTATTAATTATTATAACACATTTTCAATGACCATTCATATATTATGGAAATGATAATGTGCAACAACATCATAATCCGTATTCAAACATGACAATTAACTTGATGGCTTGCAACAACCAAAGATGATATTTAAGATATATTATGTATATTCAACTTGAGTTAGGGCTCAAGGGTATTGGAATAATATGCAATGGCAAATCTGAATTTGATGTTTCTAACAGAATAAATGTTTTACGACAAATATATTTATTCCAACACAACTGATGACATATATACCACATAGACCATGGGGTCTAATTCTGATATTAATTCATCCATCATAGGAAAAAAAACAACTCTGAAATGCTCTGCTAAATAATTAAAGGGGTCGACTTTTGGAGTAAGTCATAATAGGCGGACGTCATGACGCTGTTCAAAGTACCTCCCTCGTGATCTAACTTATCCTTGGTAACATTCTTCCATAATTCCTGTGAATCAAGAAAGGCGCATCCACATCGATCGTTTTAGCAATTACTTTACTGTTGTTTGATGATCACGGCATGTCCGTCAGAAGTGTGTTGTGCCGCCACAGATTACTGTGTATATATAACCTGCTTACAAAGAATGTAATGTAAAATAATACAGACAAAATCTAACTTTTTTAAAAAAGCATACGAATGGGATTTTCTGGTCTACTTTATGACAATCATGTATTTATGAATCACTATCACATAGTGATTCGCGAGACGATGAGCGTATCCTGTCCCGCCGGTGGCACGTATCACAAAAACACGCAAAGGCAAATCAATTGTTCATCTGAAAAACACAAGAACATATGGTACAAGTGAAGCTAGGGAAATGCATCTAACATTGTATTTTCTCACTGATGCGTCATATTTGGATAGGTCATCCACGCGTCTGCCATGATACTATCGGAATGCTTTACCAAGGCCTTTAATGATGTAACTTTGATCAACCAACTTTTGAGCAAGAGTCGTTCTCTAATGTAGACACCAAAGACTGGAGCTGCTTGAATATTGCACGACATGAAAGGAACGTTGACCATTGGAAAGTTGAAGTCATCTTCTTTGTCATACCTTTTATGCATAGATCTAGATGTGAAGTAGATGAGCTACATTGATACGCTTATAACATGCAACTGTATTGTGTGCCCTATCTTGACACGACTTCATATAAAATAATGTTGCAATAATTGCCATTATTATTTCACTGATGCTTCCAACAAGAATACTTATGATAAATGTCAATTAACCAGTTTGACATCTATGTACAATTACCGGTTGGTGTCTCATATCGTAAGAAACATATGTCACCAATGTTTTTGAACGTCATATGCAAATCTTTCAAACATTTTGTATCCAAATACTAACCATATGGCAGCCATGATATAGTATTGGACATTCAATAGACGCACAAAGAACAATGATAAATATAGTATGTTTCCGTTCCAGTTTTGGAAAACACACCTAATTCTACGGCACAGTCTTGGAATCATGGAGGGATCTTGTCTGGATTTGCTGCGGTTTTTGTCCTGGTGGTGCTGACAGTGATATTCTGATTGTCAAAATAAAGGTGAGCACATTTAGACCCGTGGTACCGTTGTACCGCAGCGTGTCAGCTTGAGAAACCCCCAATGTGATGCAGGATATATAGACGTGTGCCACCGTCCGGTAGACGCACAAGCTCCGACAAATGATAATAGTTGAGTCAAATCCACAATCAGTGGACCTCTTCATAACACAAGAATGACGACCAACCACCACATCAACCCATGTACCTCTTATATTTCAGGAGCTATGTATGTTGAAAATCAGTCAGGACCGTCGACACTAACAGTTGTGTCAGTCGAGATAGGGTTCGACAGTTCATAGGTTAAATCAAAACTTTGCTCTAAAAAGGCTTACAGTCCTTGTGAAATCATGTCTCCTAGTGTAGTTCATGTGGAATATGCGGTGTTTTTCTGTCTCCAGAAAGGCGGTAGCTACGATTATCATGCACTGTTTCTGATTTAAGGAAAACTGCTTGTGCCTTGCAACCGGTACCTACTCCAGGCATATCAGACGAAGCATCTGGAGATGGTGATATGTGTGGGAGAACTTCAAATGAACTACAATTGCAAGACTAAATCCACATGCAACTATGTCACCTGCACCTGTACCCATGCCACCTGCTCATATCACTTGCACTTTTACCACCTACACCCATACCACCTGCACCTACACCCATACCACCTCCACCTACACCTATAACATCTGCACCAATACCACCTACACCCATACCATCTGCACCTACACCTAGAGCAGCTGCACTCATATAACCTGCACTCATACCACCTGCACCCATACCACTTGCACTCATACCATCTGTACCCATACCACCTGCACTCATACCACTTGCCCCAACACCACCTGACCCCATACCACCTTCACTCACACACCCTACACCTATACCACCTGCATCTACACCACCTGCACAAATACCATCTTCTCATATCACCTGCACCCATACCATCTTCTCATATCACCTGCACCCATACCAACTTCTCATATCACCTGCACTCATACCATCTTCTCATATCACCTGCACCCATACCATCTTCTCATATCACCTGCACCCATACCAACTTCTCATATCACGTGCACTCATACCATCTTCTCATATCACCTGCACTCATACCATCTTCTCATATCACCTGCAACCATACCAACTTCTCATATCACCTGCACTCATACCATCTTCTCATATCACCTGCACTCATACCAACTGCTCATATCACCTGCACTCATACCATCTTCTCATATCACCTGCACTCATACCAACTGCTCATATCACTTGCACTCACACACCCTACACCTATACCACCTGCACCCACACCACCTGCACCCATACCACCTGCACCCATACCACCTGCACCCACACCACCTGCACCCATACCACCTGCACCCATACCACCTGCACCCATACCACCTGCACTCACACCACCTACCCCTATACCACCTGCATCTACACCACCTGCCCTCAAACAACCTACACCTACACCACATGCACCTACACCACCTGCACTCATATCACCTGCACCCATACCACTTGCACCCACACCACTTGCACCTACACCACCTGCACTCATATCACCTGCATCCATACCACCTGCACCCATACCACCTAAACCAACACCACCTGCATCCATACCACCTGCACCCATACCAACTTCTCATATCACCTGCACTCATACCAACTACTCATATTATCTGCACTCTTACTTCCTACGCCTAAACCACCTGCAACCATACCACCTGCACTCATACCACCTGCACCCATACCACCTGCACCTACATCACCTGCACCTACACCACCTGCACCCATACCACCAGCACCCACACCACCTGCACCTACACCACCTGCACCTATACCACCTGCACCCATACCACTTGCACCCACACCACTTGCACCTACACCACCTGCACCAATACCACCTGCACCCATACCACCTGCACCCATACCACCTGCACCCACACCACCTGCACCTACACCACCTGCACCCATATCACCTGCACCCATACCACCTGCACCCATACCACCTGCACCCATACCACCTACACCCATATCACCTGCACCCATACCACCTACACCCATATCACCTGCATCCCATACCACCTGCACCCATATCACCTGCACCCATACCACCTGCACCCATACCACCTGCACCCATACCACCTGCACCCATACCACCTACATCCCATACCACCTGCACCCATATCACCTGCATCCATACCACCTGCACCCATATCACCTGCATCCATACCACCTGCACCCATATCACCTGCACCCATACCACCTACACCCATATCACCTGCACCCATACCACCTGCACCCATACCACCTGCACCCATATCACCTGCATCCATACCACCTGCACCCATACCACCTGCATCCATACCACCTGCACCCATACCACCTGCACCCATACCACCTGCACCCACACCACCTGCACCTACACCATCTGCACCCACACCACCTGCACCTACACCACCTGCACCCATATCACCTGCACCCATACCACCTGCACCCATACCACCTGCATCCATACCACCTGCACCCATACCACCTGCACCCATACCACCTGCACCCATACCACCTGCACCCACACCACCTGCACCTACACCACCTGCACCCATACCACCTGCACCCATACCACCTGCACCTACACCACCTGCACCTACACCACCTGCACCCATACCACCTGCACCCATACCACCTGCACCCACACCACCTGCACCTACACCACCTGCATCCATACCACCTGCACCCATACCACCTGCACCTACACCACCTGCACCTACACCACCTGCACCCATACCACCTGCACCCATACCACCTGCACCAATACCACCTGCACCCACACCACCTGCACCTACACCACCTGCGTCCATACCACCTGCACCCATACCACCTGCACCAATACCACCTGCACCCACACCACCTGCACCTACACCACCTGCACCCATACCACCTGCACCCATACCACCTGCACCAATACCACCTGCACCAATACCACCTGCACCTACACCACCTGCGTCCACACCACCTGCACCTACACCACCTGCACCCATACCACCTGCACCCATACCACCTGCATCCATAACACCTGCATCCATACCACCTGCATCCATACCACCTGCACCCATACCACCTGCACCCATACCACCTGCACCCATACCACCTGCACCTATACCACCTGCATCCATACCACCTGCACCCATCCCACCTGCACCCATACCACCTGCACCCATACCACCTGGACCCATACCACCTCCACCCATACCACCTGCATCCATACCACCTGCACCCATACCACCTGCACCCATACCACCTGGACCCATACCACCTGCACCCATACCACCTGCACCCATACCACCTGCACCCATACCACCTGGACCTATATCACCTGCACCCATACCACCTGCACCCATACCACCTGCATCCATACCACCTGCATCCACACCACCTGCACCTACACCACCTGCACCCATACCACCTGCACCCACACCACCTGCACCCACACCACCTGCACCCATATCACCTGCACTCACACCACCTGCATCCATACCACCTGCACCCACACCACCTGCACCCACACCACCTGCACCCATATCACCTGCACTCACACCACCTACCCCTATACCACCTGCATCTACACCACCTGCACCCACACCACCTGCGTCCACACCACCTGCACCTATACCACCTGCACCCATACCACCTGCATCCATACCACCTGCACCTATACCACCTGCACCCACACCACCTGCGTCCACACCACCTGCACCTACACCACCTGCGTCCACACCACCTGCACCCATATCGTCTACACCTACACCACCTACACTCATAGCACTTGCACCCATACCACTAGACTAACATCTAGTCTCTGAAATGAACATATCCGTGACTCTCTTCTGATACTGCAGTAATCTAGACTTGCCAAACATTATAGACTTGCATTGGCTATATTTGATATATATTTGTACCAGGATCTGTAAGACAGACTACCATACCACCTGCACTCACACCACCTGCACTCATACCACCTGCACCCATATCACCTGCACTCACATCACCAGCACTCATACCACCTGCACTCATACCACCTGCACTCACACCACCTACACTCACATCACCTGCACTCGTACCACCTGCACTCATACCACCTGCACTCATACCACCTGCACTCACACCACCTACACTCACATCACCTGCACTCGTACCACCTGCACTCATACCACCTGCACTCACACCACCTGCAGCCATACCACCTGCTCCCGTTCCATCTCCGCTCATACCACCTGCACCAATACCACCTGCACTGATGCCAACTGCTCATATCAGCTGCACCCATACCACCTGCACCCACACCACATGCAATAATACCATCTGCACTCATACCACCTGCACTCTTACCAACTGGTCATATCACCTGCACCCATACCACCTGCACTCATACCACCTGCAGCCATGCCACCTGCACCCATACCACCTGCAGCCATGCCACCTGCACATACACCTGCACCCATACTAAATGCACGCATACCACCTGCACTCATACCACCTGTAGCCATACAACCTGCACGATTGTTGAGATTAGTCAACTTATGTTGTCTGACCCAAACATTTGAGGACTCAGTTGATTGCTAATGTCAACATAACTTTGGTTTAACTTGTGAAGGGATATGTCCTTAATTGAAAACTTTTCATTTAAACCTTTAAGCATCTACGTCAACAGAAACGAATTGAGATAAGTCTGGTCATCCTCACAATTGCAGGACGGTGCATGCCTCTGTACAAATAAACAATATTGAAACTACGAGTAAACATGTTTTGTTTTACCTGTATAATATCTGCTTCTTAAAATGTAGAGTTTTCTGCCTGGTTATTTGTGTGTTGATTTCTGTGTGTTTTGAAATAAGGAAACTGTCATTTTGTCGTATATTATCTTGATTATGATGGTTCCAATTTCAGCCACAGTTGATATGACCCTAACTATATGCATAGATGAATATTTATCACTGTGTGTCTTAATATCAAACAAATGAGCTTTGATACTCACAGACACAATTAGGAAGTTGACAGATTTTACACAAGTTTTTGGTTTTTGTTTAACGCCGCACTCAGCAATAGTCCAGGAATATGACTGTGTTCTGTAAATAATCGAGACTGGTCCAGACAATCCAGTGATTGACATCATGAGAAACGATCCACGCAATTGGGTCCAATGACATGCATCAACCAAGTCAGCGAACCTGACATCACGATCCCTTTAGTCGCCTCTTACAACAAGCTGAGTCGCTTTATACAGCAAGCGTGGGTTGCTGAAGACCTACTCCTCCCCGGATCTTCACCGTTCTTGCACACAAGTATGAGATGAGAGTCTTCTTCCTGTTTTGTGTTGAATTATTTGTCACCAGAGAGGTTCCAAATAAAACTGGATTGCAATATATCTATCTATGTATATGAATGTATTGTCATCAAGTGAGAGAAATATACTTCGTGATGGTGTTGTTTGATACAACCAGGGAACATAGTAAGTGCACGAGAAATGACGTATTTTGCTGAAGGGAAAATTGCCCAAGCACTGGATCGTGCGTGGTGGACAGGTCCATAAATCAGGCGACATCAAGCAGCCCCGGCTGCGGAGAGTAGGTTGATGGGTGATTGCCCTTGTCAGGATTGACCCCTGAGATTTTCTATGGCTTCGGTGCTGCCCACTCACATAACATGTGAACTTGCCTCAGCAGCGAATGGGCACCCGGTAGTTTGAGATGAGTAATGTGAATACAGAAATAATGGGCAGAGTGTATACTCCTTGGGGACTTAAAACTGCAATCGAACGAGCACTTATTGAGCATGTCACGCTCAGGTGTTGAACCTATTTATTTATTATTATGAAATGATTCATCGAGGGGTAACAATTTGTTTATTAAGCAAAGTAAACATTTTTGTTTTTGGTTAGTAAAGAAGGGGTGAGATAAACATTGGTAAAGTCACATTGGCAATATTACAGTCTTATCCGATGATAGTGAAGTGGGATGATATCCTATAGAACTCCGATTATAACAAATGATTCGCATTTAAGGTATGAGTTTCTTTTCGTGGAATGTTTAAATTGATTCGCAACTTTTCTCGATCCCACGGAACTGTTTTCTATTTAGCTATGAACGAGTCTGTCAATACTATTTTCTACAGTAATTTGATGAAGGGCAGGACATGATTACCCTTATCGCGAACACCTAGCGTCATCACTGATTTTCAACGATACCTTTTATAACCAGTGGAATATGTTGCAGCATTAATCGAGACTGGTTCTTCTCAGGCGCTTACGTTTTAATTTTCAAAATAAATCATTTCCTTAATTAGTATATTGCGCTTATAAACAGGAGGCGAAACCACTTGTGACCCTTGTATTATCAATGGACGCAATAAAAGGCACCTTGAAAATATGACAGTAGTGTTTGTTTTCGGCATTAATATTTCCTTTAATGTCCAGAATTCAGATCCAGAGTAAACAGCAGCAGAAGGAATGTAGATGAAATTTCAATTATATATATTTTTTTACAGCAGCGATAACAAATAACAAAGTGTTTTATCTTAGAAAATTAAGCGAAAGTAAGTTGCCTCACGATGAGGGAGCCTAGTAGTTAAAGCGTTTACTCGTTACGCAGAAGACCCGGGTTCGATTCCCCACATGGGTAAAATGAGTAAAGCACATTTCTTGTGTCCCCCGCCGTGATATTGCTAATAGGGGGGCACGGGTGGCCCAGTCGTCTAAGGCGCCGCGATTCGCTATGCAGAGTTGCGTCCCTTGGGCACGCCAGAAACCTATGATTGTGGGTTCGAATCCCGGTTCGCCCCGATTCTGTTTCTAGGTTTGTCAGCACCATACCCATGCTCGTGGGTTTCACCGAAGTGGTAAACGTCTGAGACCTGCATCACTTCGGGCTTTCCTCCCACATTAAGCTGACACGCCGTGATATAACTGGAAAACTGTTAAAAGCGGCGTTAAACCCAACTCACTCACTCACTTACTCACTATTGCTAATAGCGGCGAAAACCATACTCACTCACTCAGTTTTCAACGGAAATATTTTCCATGTTTCAATAGATGTAAAACTATTACTGGAATGAAAGATGTATCGGATTCATAAATAATCAAAGTGAATCACAGTAAAGATGTGGTATAAAACTATGCATGACGCCTCGCCATGTCTCAGTGAGTAGCGTGTATGTATGGGACATGTTTCAAATGATAATGTGGAACAGACTCGGTCTTTCTTTACGAAACACTTCTTGATTTCAAGAGGTTGGCATGTAGTGATTGAGTGGGTTGGGTTTAACGCCGCTTTGAACAGTATTCCAGTTATATCCAGTGAGGCCACTCCCAGAAACAATCCTAGAAACAATCACTGCGACCCTAGGATCTATGGGACATACATCTGCACAGCGCATTGCGGCAATGTTAAGATATTATAATATTTATCATGTTGAATAGTTTGAAATCGTCATAATACAAACAGTACTGCTGAAAGGTCTTGACCTGTAAGTAAGTAACGCGTGCGCTTGGGAAATGACGTACAGTAACCTGGGATCACAACATGGCTGCAGTTCAGTCAAGTCTACTCAGTGTTTCTCAAATTGTTCCTTCTCCTACAGAATGTAAATAATCGCATCTGGACCAGACAGTTCAATGAATGGTATCATGAGCAACGATCCATGCCATCGGGGTACGATCAACCAAGTCACTGAGCCCGACGACCCGATCTAATCAGTCGCTACGTCAAACCAGCATAGATTGATGAGACGTATTTTAATCCCGAATCCCTTTTGGGGGCAATGCGGTTATTGTCAGCACAGTGGATATGAAACCAAAGTGGCAAGATTGGGAATACGGAGAAACTTCATGTTAGTGCAGGGTAGGCTTGCGTTATAGATATCCTTGTGTAAGGTACGTGAAAGTGCTAAAGTTGGACGTTTTCAACACGAAAAAATACTGCTATCCTTTAACACAACATAACAGACATGTAACAGATGACACAGTGTATATACCGCTCCGCATACTGTTACAGTGTTCTCACATCACGGTAGGTTTCTATATCATTGCCGTGTTTCCTTGTTCTGTATAACAAGTATAATCACGTGACTATAATGGCGGCAAACACGCATCGACAGAAGTTGTGAGAAAGGAATTAATACCAAAATAAGGAGAAATAAATATACCGCGATAGTGAAACTGGATGTGTAAAATATATCCCCGTGGCACTACAGATAGCATGAGTGTGTCAATCCACATTTGGACAAGGATATATACATCTGCAGTGATACTTCATGAGTGTTAATCTTCACCCGGACAAGTACATATACGTTTGAGTGAGTGAGTGAGTGAGTATGGTTTTACGCCGCTTTTAGCAATATTCCAGCAATATCACGGCGGGGGACACCAGAAATGGGCTTCACACATTGTACCCATGTCGGGAATCGAACCCGGGTCTTCGGCGTGACGAGCCAACGCTTTAACCACTAGGCTACCCGACAGCCCCCATATGCGTTTGAAGTGATAGTGCAGGTGCACAATACGGCACTACATATAGCATGAGCGTGTCAATCCACATTTGGAAAAGTACATATACCTTTTCAGTGATACTGCATGGGTGTTAAGAATCCATGGGCCTCAAGGTTAGATGAGAGATACACGTGAAGAAAGTGAAATGTGTGTTATAGATTTTATGAGGGTTTCAGTGGATCGCGATTCTGCAGATGATGCAAAAATAGAGGGGCCCATCATCTTTTTTCCAAATTAGGTACCAGACCTCTTATTATAAAACTAGTTTCTATAAAGACAAATCAACCCACCTGGAATGAGTGAGTTCGGTTTAACGCCGATTTTAACAATATTCCAGTTATATCACGGCGTGTCAGCTTAATGTGGGAGGAAAGCCTGAAGTGATGCAGGTCTCAGACGTTTACCACTTCGGTGAAACCCACGAACACGGTATGGTGCTGCCAAACCTAGAAACATAATCGGGGCGAACCGGGATGACTTCGAGCTTCCCTCCCACATTAGGCTGACACGAACTGTAAGTCTCCATGGACCCTAGCATGGTGATCTACCTTCAGTTGCTTGCAATCTATAGTCCGTTTTAATAATGTATTGGTATCTATAGTAATGTATTGTAATGGTTCCATGCTTATTTTAAACATAAATCTGTGATATGGCTAGTTATTTTGCTGTCCGTTGTTGACAGGCTTTTATTGCTAAATGTATATCTTATGCACAACTCTTGATAGTCACGATATGTGTTAAATACTGCCGATGTGACTATATATCTTAACTAACACACTTGTGGGTGAGTGCATTGGGTTTAACGCAGCTTTGAACAGAACTCCAGTTGCACAATGGGCAAAATTATATCAGTGAGACCTCATAATGAATGTTAGTAAGACTACGAAGTGTTTTACTCCCTCAAGCTAATATTTGTTTACGCATTTTGCCTTTAGGACATATGCTTGATTCCGTGTATGAATTGATGCTTGAAATAAGATGCTCATGATGTCAGTCACTGGATTGTGGGGAGGAAGGCCTGAAGTTGTGCAGGTCTCAGACGCGTATCTTTAAAAGAAAGACGGTTAGGCATGAATGATTTGCTTCCACGTATGAATAATATTTACAAGTAATTATATTCTTCTTTATTTAACGGGACCACAGGTGTAGAGGCCTGTGTGACGCGTGGTTGGTGCATGCAGATGTGTATGTTCATGTTGTCACACGGCGTTGAACATGCACGTAATGAAAGCGGGACCACGGATGTAGAGGCCTGTGTGACGCGTGGTTGGTGCATGCAGATGTGTATGTTCATGTTGTCACAGGGCGTTTAACATGCACGTAATGAAAGCGGGACCACGGATGTAGAGGCCTGTGTGACGCGTGTTTGGCACATGCAGATGTCTATGTTCATGTTGTCACAGGGCGTTGAACATGCACGTAATGAAAGCGAAACTTACGAGTTTCCCATCCCTAAAAGACCGCATGAATCAGAACTAAAATATCACATAACTAGGTTGTGCCACGTCAAATGTGTACATTGTAGGCTGTCTAATCGTTAAACTACGAGCTAGTGTAAAGCCAAAATAAGATAACAGTCGTCTTCTTATCACAGTGAGTGAGTTGGGTTTAACGCCCTTTATAACATCATTCCCGTTATATCACGGCTTGTGAGCTTAATGTGGGGGAAAGCCCGAAGTGACTCAGGTCTCAGACGTTTACCACTTCGGTGAAACCCACGAGCACGGGTATGGTGCTGACAAACCTAGAAACATAATCGTGGCGAACCGTCTAACCGTTAAACTACGAGCTAGTGTAAAGTCAAAATATATAACAGTCGTCTTCCTATCACAAGTCATGTCATTATAAAAAAAAATAATATCACTGATTAATGCGAGGTCGCGTTCTGGAACTCAGCAGTATCACATAGTTGAGAGATATGGTATCTTGATCTGGTTATCACCGGCTATTTTTGTCTTTGATATGTGACAACATCGGTTGCTGATTCCCACAAACAGAATTGTTCATTGATGTGCATCTCTAAGTTGTACCCATCTACTGAGTATGCCATACCACAGATGTTGGTCACCACTCACAGTGCTGTTACTGTTGTGGCGTCCCACACAAGGTATGTTTCCCAGTTCAAATGTAACACAACACAATGCGTATAGTTTGTATCAGATTAGCAGCTACAGAACAGTCCAACCAGCCTGTCGTCAGCTAGATAACGTGCCGTGTCATTGTGATGTAAAATTTTTGTAGATCACCATCACGGTATCTGGCAAATAACAGAGAGGGCTGATTGATTTGTTCTGAGCCACACACAGAAGGCCTGACCGTAAGACATTAAACACATGTATTGTTCAATATGGTTCCCTTCTATTGATACACATTTGTCGCAATGAGTGAGTGAGTTGGGTTTAACGCCACTTTTAACAGTATTCCAGTAATATCGTGGCGTGTCAGCTTAATATGGGAGGAAAGCCCGAAGTGATGCAGGTCTAAGACGTTTACCACGTCGGTGAAACCCATGAACAAGGGTATCAAATCTAGAAACATTATTGGGGCGAACTGGGATTCGAGCCCACACTCATAGGTTTCTGGCGTTTCCAAGGGACGCAACTCTGCGAATCGCAGCGCCTTAGACGACTGGGCCACCCCCACATATTTGTCGGGGCGAGTTTCGGAGAAGATCTTCTCCTGGCTGTCCACGAATGTTGTCCACCTCAGCTGTGACGTCATCGAGTCAGAATAAGTCAGGCGAGAGATTTCGTCATGTTTGGAAACAGGAGAAAAAAAGCCGGTGGTGCGGAGTGAGATCAAAGCTTGAAGGGAACGCTGTTTCCTGTTTCACCCTCAAAGGATGGCATAATATTGGCCCTCCACTGTCTGGCACATTTACTGGTCGTCTGGATGATGGTCAAACATCTGCATCCCAGACCATGAGGACATAGCCTATCCAGGTCATTGGACAGTGTGTGCCTTATTTTGTGGTGGTGTCAAATACTCCCACTATGTTATAAGAGTCCGTTCGTGTGGTTTTGACCACTTGCCTGCCTTTTAGGAGCAGTGGCGACTGTTTCGGCAGATGATCGAGAATGTGTTCAGGCCTTGAAGGTTTGTGTTTTGATGCTAAGTCCTTTTTCTGCAAGTACTTGACCTCTGCACATTCCTGAATTTTTGTCAAAAAATGGCACATATCGCTGCATATTGTTCTGACTTGTCATGGCGAAACAATATTCTCAAACTTGTGTGGAAATACTCCCATGACATATAAATTACAGGATACTTAACTCTTTCGCAATACCGTCTATATGAGGCGTTGAAATTATCAATCAACCCTCGCATAAATATAATATATGTCTACTGAATCGCCAGGGTTTAGATATCAAAACAGATCTCGTCTTCTTCTTTACAAAAGTCAGAAACATCACACATAAGGAAATCACACTCAACTAGGGTAGATTGATCGTACGTTACAAAATACAGTTGTGGGGTTATAATTTCTGATGTCAATTTTTGACAAGGAATTCTTGTTTGTCAGCACAGTAGACCAGTGTTCATGCGTGTCCACAAACTGCCTTGAGACGTTCAGCACTGAAAAAAAGAACGTTATGCAGACATCTTCTTAAGTTAACATTCACAAAATTAACCATTTTCATTTGGGGAAAACAACTACAGCTTCTGTGAAACGTGTTGGGCAGGAACAGGGTAGCGTGGAAGTTCAAAACACATGGAGGAATGTATGGGACCATTAATTACCGAACTCAATGTTAAGGTCATCTTCCAGATGACTGACAATCCCCAACTTGGTAATACTACTAAACTTGAACTTACCAATGTTTATTCATTGTAAAACACGCATCTGCATTTGATTATCTGTTAATTATTGAACAGTTTCTGTGTCAACAAATATATTTTTGAATAGTATTACAGCTAACTACTGATGGAATGTCTCCTTTACCTATGTCAACGCCAAATCCAGCCGAGACATTTGTACGCCTTGTTGGTGGGTCTACTGCCAATCAGGGCCGGGTCGAAGTGTATGCGTTTGGATCGTGGGGAACAGTCTGTGACACGACCTGGGACGTCAAAGATGCTGCCGTCATTTGTTCCATGCTGGGATACTCCGACTTCACGTCAGTAGTAATTCTTTATTCTATCACACAATGCCTGCATGTATGTGTTTGTGTCTATAGCAGAAACCATGCATGACACCTCGTCCTTTATGCTCCCCTTTATCATCACACATGTTCTTTATTCTGATGATGCCAGGGACGAACCGAGGTGTACGTATTCACTTTAACATGGATGCATGTGCACGATGATCTATTTTGTGGACGGGATCAACCACAATGAAATCATAGTAGACACAATTTATTAATAACTACTATTTAATTATCGTGAATCTGTGTTATTTTCTGTGGACCATTATATGTACCATGGGTCGTTGGCGAATAAATATAGACAATGTAAAGACAATGATAACTTCTTTTTTACTGTAAAGGCGACGTCTCGGTATAGATCCTTAATCCATCAATCCAAAAGATCCATAAATTGTGTCTACTTTGTCATCCGTCAACTTCTTAAACAATTCACAATGAACACAGCCTTCAATCATCTTTGCAACCTGAATGCCGTATGGGCGGTTACATGTGTTCAGTCGAAACAAAATACAACCGAGACTCCCCGTCCTGACAATGGCATCATTTCACTTTACAGATTGTATGGCCAATGTAAGCCTACGACTTTTAACCTAAAGTATTTGACAACAGATGCAACGGTGCTCTGATACCAATAAAATAGGTCCAGCAATACAGTTATATAGTGAGGCAATCGCATGATATGAACGACTGTCAGAATTAACACATTTCGACAAATTACAATAAAATAAAATTACACCTTGTTCATATCAATGACTAGGACATACGATATTATTCGGGGATATTTAGCGTCACCTTCATACAATTCCATTTCAAGACATTTTGGATATTGATGAATTCTAGATCCACCTTAATGACAGGTCGGTAGAAATGCGATCGCATGTCTCTACTTTCCTTGACCGAAGTGCTCATGTTAAAATAATGAGTAAGCTTTAATGTAACCTGTTCAACACAAGTCATCCATCCAATCAGTTCTTCATGAATATGAAATATTTTGGTATGATTCCAATAAACATGCGATTTCGGAATTGTCCCATATACAACAATCACTTAACTTCTTCACATACCAAAGCTGTGTACATGAAACTCATGTATTGTATACATTGTATTGTATTGTATAGGTACAATGCTTCACTGTTGTGTCCTTAACGATATGTGCCATCCTATCTATATAAGCATCCTCAGTTCTGGACTGTCGTACATGTATTGTACATTCACGACAATGTTGATGGTATATTTTAACTTATTACCTACAATGATTATTTCGCCATTTCGTCGTATCATTTCTGTGTTGTAAGATGATAGGCCATTGTTGTCAAGAATTTGTTGTGTTGTCTGGTGAGATGGTACACAATTGCCATCTACTCTTAGCTGTGGTATGATGTAAAACGATACGTCATTAGTGCTACAATTTAGTTCAGGTATGTTGTGCGAAGGATAATTAGTTTCATTTAGTTTTGAATAGACTATACATCGTTGTCGTCAGATCTGGAGGTTCTATCCAGCGCCAGGCGGCTTTTGGCGAAGGCACAGGTCCGATATGGCTGAATAACCTGACATGTCTAGGGTCAGAGGCGACCATCACACAGTGTCCACTCGGAGGATGGAGAGCAGATGATTGTGGCCACAACCACGACGCTGGAGTCACGTGCTCATCAGGTCGGTCATCAGCTGTCTCGTAAAATTCTATTAATTAACGTCATGGCCGTCGACGGCCTCAAAGTTTGTGAATCAAGTAAGGATAATATTCATGGATGAACAATGTCTTTATTACAATTGAGAGCGACGTTTCGGTGTAGTTGCTAACACCGTTATCAAGCAAGTGATATACAGAGTGTGGTTGACAAGTATTTATACAAGTAGGAGGCAATGTTTGTACAGTGGAGTAGATATCAAATGCCTCCTACCTTAATTGTAATAAAGAAGTTGTTCGTCCATAAATATCATCCTTACTTAGTACTCAAACTTTTAAATCAAAGAAGTTTGTGTATCAGTTGACATCCTCCTGAGCATAAAAGTAATGAATTAAGTCAAGTAAATCAAATGTAAACGAGCAACCCATTTTGAGAAGTCGATCAAATGGCAGTTTGATAAAGTATTGATCCATGGCCGCATCAGAAACAAGCTTTTACTTATGTTGAGCACTATCGGATAGAAGATAAGTGATAACTTGTTAAAGCCACCACGTAATAACACAATAACACAAATCACATGTTACGAGCTGCCTTGGGGTTCTAGTGCAGATGATACAACAAAAAAACAAGACAAAAAAAACACAATTTTCCCAAATCGCTCGGTTGATGTTTAATGCCACGAATCTAACGAGTTATATGAGATCAAACCACTGATACCCCTTTTTCGCAGTTATCAACAAAGAAGGAACGAAAACAGATCAAACCATTTCACATATTTACAAATGGCATACAGACGGGTTGTACACTTGGTGAGAAAGCATCGTTATATGTATATTTTAGCAATATTTCGGTGCTACCAGGGTTCGGAACACATTGTATGAGTTTCACATGTTGTGCCTATTCGGAGAATGGAACGCTGGTCTTCAGCGTGACATCAAGCTACCCAAAATGATATACATTTAAACTAATTTGTTAGACATAGGAATAAAAAGCATATACCTTCATCACTTTCAGCACAGCTACCCAACAACTTCCTGCTGATAACAGATTCGGCAGATAAGAAGATCTACCGTATGGATGGCCGCACCTACAGTTACGTCGACATACCAGTGTCCTCAGCAGATACCCCAGTGGCAATTGATTATGACTTCGTTGATGGGCGAATCATTTGGACAGATGTTGGCTCCAAACAAATCCGCAGTGTGACACTGGCTGGCACAACGGAGAAGGTTATTTGGCAGCTCAATACAGGTAACTGTCCACAACCTTTCCTGATATTCATGTTCCTGTTTATTATAGCTTGCCTGACACCAAAACAGAATGCTGAGGGAGACAAATGCCAAGGGTCCTTTACTTGTCCCCTTATTAATCTTGGCCTCTGCTTGTCAGTCAATGCAGTTGACCATCTCAATACTCCAAACACAATTGCAAGTGCCTCCTTCACGTTTATGTGCATGTCATACACTTCTGACATATCACATAACCACTTGATATTCACCAATTCAGCATAAAAGCAGGTTCCTCTCTCTGGTCTGAATTGTGTCATGGGTCTCCTATCTAAGAACTGTTTCAAGCCTTTGAAAGTTTTAAGGAAATCCTGCCACCATGTATTTAATTCCTCATCCAACAACACCTTGCCACTGTTATCTAGAAGTGAGTTCCTTGTCTTCGACAGTCGCCACAGAAAGGTTAAACATCCTTGTTCTACCATCCCTGCTTAACTTAGTTTATAAATGAGGGTTTCCAGTTGATGTTCAGTTGCACATATTCTGGAAGCAAAGTCATCTATTCCTTCTTGAAATGCCTTCAGTTTACTGCCTGATAGTGCCACAAGAACTTACTGTTACATTATACTTTGATTTGAGGTGAGACGTGGAAATACTTTTGGACTCATTGATGCTCTCATTGCACCAATGAGCAATTTGCAGTCAAATAAATAGGTGGCATCACCGTCTCCCTTGAAATTTAGCCCACTGAATTTGGTGTGGCCCCTTAAGGGCTAACCAACTTTGGTTTCATCCCTGTGATGACTTAATTGCCTAACATACTTTCTTGCCTTATTTGCTTTTCAGTCACATTCCTTTAGCAACCATGTGATTTTTGTATGCTTGTAGACATTCTCCACCTCCGCTTCGGATTAAAGTAGGCAGGAGTCTCCCACGCTGCACACTTTCACAATTTTGTTGTTGAGATTGGTGAGGAGCTTGTGTGCGTGATTTTGCTTTACTCAGACCATAAAAAAATACCAGACACATACTTGGATGCAAATATCCTGGACATACTTTTGATAATCATGTATGCCTGGTATGTCTGCATCTTTAGGGTGTCCTTCAAAATGCCTACACTGGCATAGATCCACATTTCCTGTGATTATTTAGACAACTTGTTCTTACATAAGCCCTCACCTAAACTCGACACAGTCACTTTCACAATCTAGTGACTCTCAGCAAATTAAGTCTATCATATTCCTTTTCTTGCTTTTGATTTTGTTGTTGCATGCCTCTGTTGTTGCCGCCATGCCACTGTCAACTCGGAGGCTGCCAGGTCGGATGTCTTATCATGCTTCGCCCATCATGGCTACTACATTTGGTTGCCTGCGTCAACTCTGAATTTCGGTATTAAAATCCCCCCCCCCCCCCCCCCACACACACACACACACACACCTTCAATTTTCACACTTTCACCTTGAGAACCTCTTGTCCATTCCATCCTCGATACCATACTGTAAGTTGCTGGCATTCTATTGCCTGTCCCCTTTAATTCCTGTGTCCTGCCTGCTTCTGCCACCCTTCTCAGTTACTATAGGGATTCAAGATCGGCTAGTGAGCACATGGACGTCACTCCAGTAAAAACAATTTGTATATGTTAACAAATACATAAACCAGGGAAATGACTGGCTAGACAGAGGTTAGAACCTTTAAAGTTTACAAACCTACAAAATCATACCAGACATATGTCACATAGAATATACCTTAACTGTGTTGGCAAAGATGAATAATTTATCTTGTTTGGCTTTACATGATTTTGTGAAGCTCTATAATATTTGAATAAATGTGAAAGTATTGTGTATGGCTACTGAACCAACTCTGCCTCTTAGCTGGACTTTATGCACGCACACGCATCATCCCTAAACTGAGAATATTGGTTAGTATTCACACGGAATGAAGTCAGCATTGAACGCCACTAAGAACACAAAAAATGTCTTTCAGTGTCACACATTAATCTTGCTCACTCATTTCCACGAAGCTCTGGACCATCTCCGTGGTCAAGTGGGTAGACGTCTGCCCAGAGAGCGGAAAGCAGCGGTTCGATCCACGGCCGCCTGTACCATAAAACGTTAAAGGATGGGTCTTGTTGTGACCCTAGCAGGCGCTCGTCCTGCTTTGGTTGGAGTAGGTATACTCTGAGTTGGGTATTCGTGATAAACTGAAGTATGTCAGTGCTCGAGAGTTGACTATAATGTTCAAAAAGTCCTAGGCCACATACATGCTGTCTGTTTGCTTCTATAGAGAACGTTGATGACACACCTTGTATAGGCTGATTTCAACTATTGGCTGGTCGCCCGTGATCTCATCAAACCATCAGGGCATGCCGTCACAATCAACCAGTTGACACATTTCACCAACCAGTCCTCATGGTGTACCGGGTATTTTTCTGCACATGTGTAGACAGCCGACACTAAACTGCTATCCTTTCATTCCTTGTCAGCGGCTGTGCCCAATGGAATCTCCGTCGACCCGGTGACACGCCTGATCTTCTACACAGACACTGGCAACGACATCATTGGACTGATGACGATTGACGGCTTTGCTCACCTGGCTATCATCAAGGAAGAACTGGATGAACCCAGGGCCATCGTGTCGGACCCGTCCACAGGGTGGGTGTACACGAACATCTTGTCAGTGTTTTCAACAATGTATCTCTCATGTACAATTACCGGATTGATATGGCGATAGTCATAAGTTACTATTAGGTCGATACGCCCTGAATCGTATAATGATTTTTTTTATTTTTGATATTTTTGATGAATTATTGTGAGTGGCAACACTAAAGATGAAGAAAACAAGAAAACATTTTGAAGCTCTGCTCATCGGCCGAGATTTGACAGACAATGCTATCATCCATTCCTTCATAGTTGCAACGCATCACAACACATAGGTATCAAGGCGTTTTACTATTTATGTGAAGATACACATGTCTAGGGACAGAGTGACACATGACATCTTCTCTCTGTGTTTTTCTAACATAGTGTCAATAGTTTACTTCATCAGCCAAGAGGGTCGTTTGGGTAGCCTAGTGGTTAAAGCGTTCGCCCGTCATGCCGAAGACCCGGGTTCGACAATGGTACAATGTGTGAAGCCCATTTCTGGTGTCCCTCGTCGTGATATTGCTGGAATATTGCTAAAAGCGGCGTAAAAAAACATACTCACTCAATCACTCACCCATCAGCCTGGAACAGTATTAACTGTTATTATGGGACACATACCATATTGTTCTGCTGTAAATCGTTCACATGCATCAGTGAGTGAGTGAGTGAGTGAGTGAGTGAGTGAGTGAGTGAGTTGGGTTTAACGCCGCTTTTAGGTCACATGTATCAGTTACAGTGCAACAGTGACATTGCTGTTGCTATTATAAGTGTCGGGGTACATGTATCCTTTATTTTATATTGCTAGGGTTACATCATACAGCAAGCTCATTTCGTATTACTTTATTAGAATCTTTATCAAAGTTGGTGATAGCAAAATGTATCATTTTAAGCCCAATATGTAAATTATTTCTGAATGTAACAGTTCTTTTGCCAGAATGGGCATGAATGGATGAAACATTGATCTGATAATTTTGTCTGTATATCTACTAGCATACGGAGCGTGCTAAACCATGTCATGATTATTACTAAAGAATCCGTCTTGATTCTTTCAAAGATAAAAAAGTGCCTGCATTAGTAACGTTTCCATGGAAGCAGTAGATTCTCAAGGGTAGGATAGCAAGTTTTGTTCTTGTATTCTGTAGGCTCGTTTACTGGTGTGACTATGGGCACAGTCCCAAGATCGAGAGAGCGTCATATGACGGGTCGATGAGAACTCCTCTTGTAACAACGCAACTGATTCGACCAACAGGCATTGCCATCAACCCAGACGGTAACTGTTCCCTGTCTCTAATTGTTGTCGGATTGATGAATTTAAAAGAACAAACATGACAGGTCTCATGTTGTAATTCTGTGATTAACGAGACTGTGACCAGCTCTGGACCTGCAGGTGATAACTGTACCAGTGAAGGGACTTTGAACCGCTTGTTGTACAAATAATTGGCCGCCAGTGTCGTCAACAAGTTAAGTTTTACCATGATATATTTGATTGTGTTGTTTGGTGTATCAGGCACACACATACCCACTTTGGCCACGTATAGTATAATGAACCACTGAGGCATAACTGACTCACGAAGCTGAATGATCAACATGGCACAGAATATATACAGTAGGTGCAGGATTAACGTTAGAGGACTACCAGTAACAACAATTGCAAACATAAGGGAGATTACCATGAGAAGGTTTGAACAATGACAACTGAAGGATAATACTGTAGAACATTGACAGAGAACACATGATTGGGCCATGAAGCCAAGTATACAGGAAAAGTATTCATAGGTGGGTGATTATTGCTGAAATGAATTCATAGTAGGCGGATGGGATGAAATAGTCTTGATCACTGTTGATTGATGCTTGTCGGGGGAATGTAGACTGCTTTTGTTAGTTTTCCTTTAGTGAAGTCATGGAGGTTGTTTGAGAGGATTTGGATGTTTTCCCAGTTGATGTTGTGATTGGGGTAGAGGTTGATATGGTCCGAGATGGCTGATTTACAGTCTGATTTGATTGTTGAAGTTTTGTGATCTTTGATTCTGCCGTGGGCGGGATGTTTCACCTTCGTTTGATTGTCCACAGTTGAGGTCAGTTTTATAAACTACACCATTAGGTTCTTGGCGTTTGGTTATGTTTCTCCTGCTGGCTCTTAGAAGGGTATGGAGGGAGGTGGAACTGGTGAAGTAGGTCAATATTGGCTTGCTGTTTGAGAAAGCTGCTGATGTTGTGGGAGGCTTCTCCCATGAATGGGAGGGCGATGCAGAAGGGCGCTGATTCAGGTTTAGGGGTCGCAGATCTGGATGTGGGATGGAGTACAGAAAACAAGTTTCGGAGGATAATTGTTGAGGTTAGTGAAAACATGGCGGAGGTGTTCAATCTAAGGTTTGGGGTCAGCAGAAGAGAGGTTGATGGCTTGGTTGGTGAGGATAATGATGATGCCAGTCTTAGTTGTAAGGGGACGGTTGGTGTTGAAGTGGATGTACTGATCGGTTTGGGCAGACACTGGTTTGGAATCTGTTGGTTTGGATTCTGGAGACAGGTAATCTTGTGTTCTTCTGTTGCAGGTAATGAGCTTTTCTGGTGTGATGAGGGTTCTGGTAAAATTGAAAAATCTCGGCTTGACGGACGCAACCGTGTCGTTCTGTCTTCCAGCGTGGGGTCTCAGTATTTCGGCATTATATATTTTAGTGACTATCTCTTCTTCACCGACTGGTCCCAAAAGTAGGTAGACCCATTGCTTCAGTAAACACTTATCAGTCACCTTCCTGTCCCTGCAGTAGGTGCCAACAGTGCTTCAGTAAGGACTTGTCAGTCACCTTCCTCTCCCTGCAGTAGGTACCAGCAGTGTTTCAGTAACCACTTGTCAGTCACTTTCCTGTCCCTGCAGTAGGTACCAGCAGTGCTTCAGTAAACACTTGTCAGTCACCTTCCTGTCCCTGCAGTAGGTACCAGCAGTGCTTCAATAAGCACTTGTAAGTCACCTTCCTGTCCCTGCAGTAGGTACAAGCAGTGTTTCAGTAAACACTTGTCAGTCACCTTCCTGTCCCTGCTATAGGTGCCAGCAGTGCTTCAGTAAACACTTGTCAGTCACCTTCCTGTCCCTGCAGCAGGTACCAGCAGTGCTTCAGTAAACACTTGTCAGTCATCTTCCTGTCCCTGCAGCAGGTACCAGCAGTGCTTCAGTAAACACTTGTCAGTGACCTTCCTGTCCCTGCAGTAGGTGCCAGCAGTGCTTCAGTAAACACTTGTCAGTCACCTTCCTGTCCCTGCAGTAGGTGCCAGCAGTGCTTCAGTAAACACTTGTCAGTCACCTTCCTGTCCCTGCAGTAGGTACCAGCAGTGCTTCAATAAGCACTTGTAAGTCACCTTCCTGTCCCTGCAGTAGGTACAAGCAGTGTTTCAGTAAACACTTGTCAGTCACCTTCCTGTCCCTGCTATAGGTGCCAGCAGTGCTTCAGTAAACACTTGTCAGTCACCTTCCTGTCCCTGCAGCAGGTACCAGCAGTGCTTCAGTAAACACTTGTCAGTCATCTTCCTGTCCCTGCAGTAGGTACCAGCAGTGCTTCAGTAAACACTTGTCAGTCACCTTCCTGTCCCTGCTATAGGTGCCAGCAGTGCTTCAGTAAACACTTGTCAGTCATCTTCCTGTCCCTGCAGCAGGTACCAGCAGTGCTTCAGTAAACACTTGTCAGTCACCTTCCTGTCCCTGCAGCAGGTACCAGCAGTGCTTCAGTAAACACTTGTCAGTGACCTTCCTGTCCCTGCAGTAGGTGCCAGCAGTGCTTCAGTAAACACTTGTCAGTCACCTTCCTCTCCCTGCAGCAGGTACCAGCAGTGCTTCAGTAAACACTTGTCAGTCACCTTCCTGTCCCTGCAGTAGGTGCCAGCAGTGCTTCAGTAAACACTTGTCAGTCATCTTCCTGTCCTTGCTATAGGTGCCAGCAGTGCTTCAGTAAACACTTGTCAGTCACCTTCCTGTCCCTGCAGTAGGTACCAGCAGTGTTTCAGTAACCACTTGTCAGTCACTTTCCTGTCCCTGCAGTAGGTACCAGCAGTGCTTCAGTAAACACTTGTCAGTCACCTTCCTGTCCCTGCAGTAGGTACCAGCAGTGCTTCAATAAGCACTTGTAAGTCACCTTCCTGTCCCTGCAGTAGGTACAAGCAGTGTTTCAGTAAACACTTGTCAGTCACCTTCCTGTCCCTGCTATAGGTGCCAGCAGTGCTTCAGTAAACACTTGTCAGTCACCTTCCTGTCCCTGCAGCAGGTACCAGCAGTGCTTCAGTAAACACTTGTCAGTCATCTTCCTGTCCCTGCAGCAGGTACCAGCAGTGCTTCAGTAAACACTTGTCAGTCACCTTCCTGTCCCTGCAGCAGGTACCAGCAGTGCTTCAGTAAACACTTGTCAGTCATCTTCCTGTCCCTGCAGCAGGTACCAGCAGTGCTTCAGTAAACACTTGTCAGTGACCTTCCTGTCCCTGCTATAGGTGCCAGCAGTGCTTCAGTAAACACTTGTCAGTCACCTTCCTGTCCCTGCAGTAGGTGCCAGCAGTGCTTCAGTAAACACTTGTCAGTCACCTTCCTGTCCCTGCAGTAGGTACCAGCAGTGCTTCAATAAGCACTTGTAAGTCACCTTCCTGTCCCTGCAGTAGGTACAAGCAGTGTTTCAGTAAACACTTGTCAGTCACCTTCCTGTCCCTGCTATAGGTGCCAGCAGTGCTTCAGTAAACACTTGTCAGTCACCTTCCTGTCCCTGCAGCAGGTACCAGCAGTGCTTCAGTAAACACTTGTCAGTCACCTTCCTGTCCCTGCAGCAGGTACCAGCAGTGCTTCAGTAAACACTTGTCAGTGACCTTCCTGTCCCTGCAGTAGGTGCCAGCAGTGTTTCAGTAAACACTTGTCAGTCATCTTCCTGTCCCTGCAGTAGGTACCAGCAGTGCTTCAGTAAACACTTGTCAGTGACCTTCCTGTCCCTGCAGTAGGTGCCAGCAGTGCTTCAGTAAACACTTGTCAGTCATCTTCCTGTCCCTGCAGTAGGTGCCAGCAGTGCTTCAGTAAACACTTGTCAGTCATCTTCCTGTCCCTGCTATAGGTGCCAGCAGTGCTTCAGTAAACACTTGTCAGTCACCTTCCTGTCCCTGCAGTAGGTGCCAGCAGTGCTTCAGTAAACACTTGTCAGTCACCTCCTGTCCCTGCAGTAGGTACCAGCAGTCTCCAGTTAGGGGGTACATCTTGTGAATGGCACTGACCCTTTAGTACATTTCAGCTAGTATCCAATGACTGTAGCTACACGGCTTACTAGTATTACAGCAATCTCTTGAGTCGCAATCAACAAGAACTGAACTGTTTTGTTATATATCTGTAAGTTGACGTTGAAGTACCACCAAAGTTTTAATGAGATCCAGTGTACTAATATGGCTTATACAGTTCTCACATAAATCAACACTGAAGTATTTCCATAACTGACTTTGTCTAATTTGATGATGATTCAACTACTATTCAGTTAGGTGTAAGTATATCTAACATGTACATCATTTATACAGTAATCCTATTTGGATAACATGGCTGAGTACCTATTTCATTGTTTCATAGTCTTAATTTTAGTGACAGGCCACATTGAAAACGATTAACAGCAAAAACAGTATTAAGGCTTCTTTTAACTTTCACTATATAATTTGAATTTGAATATGTAGAACTGTATTTCGGATGTATGATGACGGCACTGGACTGACGACGGTGGGGCCAGGTGGGTTTGGGCGTCTCAACGACATCCACTACCACAGAGATGGCTGGGGTCCATCAGGTATGTGACTACATTCGTTATAACCCATGAACATATCCATGTCACCGGTATATGACTAATTTACGATTGATATCTACCTCACAACGCGCAGACAACGTCATCCACTCATACAACAATGCCTTAACTGGAATACGATTTTGTTGGTTACATTATTGTCAATCATATAACGGCAGATTAGTGTCTAAAAAAGAAAGATCGAAAACAAAGCCAGAAATAAATGATACATTTTCCATTTATCCTCAGGAGCTATCAGTAGAATGGGCGTGAAGCTGATTATTATCATATGCAGAACCGTCTGTCAATTACCAGTAATGGGACAATCTCATACACATCTCAGTGTAGACTTACATTCTCAGCGGAATGACACATTGTGACAACGTACCTTAATGATACACAGTGTCAAATAAATATCATCCCTGGAGCTGGGTTTGTGTTCAAATGTTTAGGAAATTGTTTAAAACTCGTACGGAGGACTGGTTGAAGCTGTTTTCAGCACCCATGGTCAGCGTCCAGACAGTTGATGTTCTGTAATGTTGACCATTTCCATAATCACAGGAAGTCTCTGTTGAATGCAAAGTCCTTTGTACGGTCGAAAGTTATTTTGGTAGAATCGTGACATACAGGTTCCACCTTTTTTCCATTTTTCTTACTATTATAAATGTCCGTTCCCTATAAGCATATGAGTAAGTGCGTGAGTGAGTTGTGTTTAACGCCGCTTTTAACAGTATTCCAGTTATATCACGGATGTCATAGATTTCGGGCTTGCCCAAGGGCTGCAGCTCTACACAGCGAGTCGCGGCGCCTTAGACGACTGGGCCACCCGTGCCCCCCTTAGGCTCCAGGTATAAATCGATGATCTGATATCATTCAAAAACCATCAATCACCCTCTTCCCTTCCACTGAACTTGAAAAAGGAGACCAGTGAGACCCCCTCTCTGGTTTCCTATATAGAACCCTGCATAAAGATTCAGAGTGACAAAACACTTTCCTCACACCGGGATGACAAAAGGGTCCACTTGATCTTCCCAACAGTCAACTTTCAGTTTATGTCAGCAATATTCCAACAGATCCAGCATCAGGTGTCCACGGAGACTGCAGAGAAGATGAAACCACTCAAGAGTTGTTTAATCAGGGACACTTGAAAATTTGAGGCATCGATGACTAAAATGGTGTCCGATGCAATTCTCTATTTTGACTTGTACCATATGTGAAAGGTGGGATCCGTTCACCTTTTCGCGAAAACCTGGTATCATCACTATTTGAGAGCGATTCATAAACACATGCTCATGGTAAAGTCTGAATCTTACAATCGACTTTGCTTTTGGAAGCGATTTCTGATGAATATGGAAAATGTTTTGTCGCTTGTATTTTGCCTTTTCTACACTTTTCTACAAGGTGAACAATGAGGTTGTGACAGTGACCTGCGGGAGATGTGTCACGATAAGGATTATCTTTTTACTAGCAATTTTGTATTTTGCTCTACTTCAGGTACTAATGCGTGTAGCAACGGGCGTGGTGGATGCAGCCATATCTGTTTGCCCAACCCTGGCAACGGTTTCTTTTGTATTTGTCCTGACGGTCTTACACTTCATCCAGACGGACTCACCTGTGGCATCAGTGAGTTGTTCCTAGTGTTTGATTGTTTGTTGTTTTACGCCGCACTCGGTAGTATTCCAGCTGTGTGACGGCGGTCTGTAAATAATTGAGTCAGGACCAGACAATCCAGTGATTAACATCATGAGAATTGATCAACGCAATTGGGATACGATGACATGTTTCAACCAAGTCAGCGAGCCTGACCACCCGATCCCGTTAGTTGCCTCTTACGACAAGCATAGGCGCCTTTTACGGCAAGCTTGGGTTGCTGAAGACCTATTCTACACCGGATCTTCAGGGGTCTGTTCGTAGTGAAGGCAGTTGTAGTGATGCACCAATGTATACAATACCAGACCGATTTAAGTCCTTATGTTCAGAAATACAAATATATGATGCGGGATAATACAATCTAGCATCGCATAAGGTTAGGTGAACATCGCGTTCAAGATTATTGCATTTATATTTGCACTTCATATACGTGTATGTGTGTGGATGCTTCTACTAGTCCGAAGTAATGCCCATTTTAAGAGCTAGTTCACTGAGCTATAAACCAAATATAAACTATAAATATCCACTCAGACAAATTACTGACTGCGAGCCGATCAGTCCTTGTTCTAGCCCCTTGATGCTGAGCACCAGACAAGGTAGCAACAAATAGCATTATTATGTCTTTTGATATGACGCGGCCAGGGATCGTGCTCCGACCTTCTGCTCTCCGTGCGGATGCTAGACCATGGAGGCGGTCTAACTTCGCATATGACTTGTATGGGTTGCGTTATGTTGACAGTTTGGTGTGTGAGTATTAGTTTTTTAGTTATACGACGGGATGTCAGTTTTATTTTGGAAGAAAACACATAGTATTACAGGTCTTTGAAAGGTATTTAGAAGTGATGTACATAAGGAAGAGAATATATGGATGCCAATTTCGTCATTATGAGGGACGTTTCGGAGTATATGCTTCCTCCTTCATGAATGAATTAACCTGATGAAGGAGTAAGCATAATATACTCGTTGTGTTCCTCATAATAAATAAGTTGACATCCATATGTTATCTCCCTTATAGTATTACAGTTCATAGACCTTTACCACTTTTACGAAAACCACGAGCACGGATATTGTTCTGACAACCAACCAATAATTCCTATATTACGTGTGATCTCTCATAATACATCAGTATTATCTGGTATCTACAAAAGGGGTAGTTAACGGCGTCCAGTCTCATACCATACATCCACCAGGGCAATTTTGGTTCCAACATATTTAGCGTCATATTGATACTTCAAGAAGAGAGCGTTAACTCTATAAGTAATTAAGTAATGTATTTTATGAAAGATAAGCACGTTTCGTATTTCAACACTACTTTTCATACAACCTACTTGGTTAACCATGTGTTCATCAATGAAGGATATCACGCACATTGTACTTTGCACAGCTAAGCCATGTCCGGCACTGTTTCCTCCGAAGTATGGCTCCGTATCCCCACACAACTGTACAGAGTTAGAAGCTACGGCTGGGACGTACTGCACGGCCACCTGCACGCCAGGCTTCTCTCTTCTTGGCCAGACAAATCTACAATGCATGAGCAATGGGCAGTGGAACAACTTGGGAGCTCCGCTTTTATGTCAGGGTAAGACACTCAAATGGACATTCAATAGCCACTGGTGCCAGATAGAGCGTGCATGTTTGTGTAGATGTGTCCTATAATTTAAGCGCCAGAGATAAAAGTGTTCAAAAGTTTGATTGTCTCAGGAAGAGATGTGTTCAATAAATGGAGCACCAGCCATAAATGTCTTCAAATTTTGAGCATCAGAAATTAGAAGTGATCTATGCTTTGATAGTCGGAGATAAATGTGATTAGGTATTTAAGTGTCAGAAGTAGATGTTTGAAATAATTTGATATTCATACGATATATGATAGATGTGTTCAACAATTTGAGTGTCAGAGTGTAAGGTATTGTTATAAGGCACGCTTACGACTCATATCGGTCTTCTTTAGCCGGATATCAGAGTTCTCACTGAAGATAATATTATACTTCTTGTATTTAAATAATTGATACTTGTTTAAAGTTATTAACTTCACTTTTCTGCATATGGACATGATATCATTTCGCCAACAGTAAATTGCATCAACAAGTTTCACATGTCATGGCGCGTTGTTGTTATCAGACACACAAGGTCCCAACATCACCTGCCCAGATAATCTAGATGTGAAAGCACCTAAAGGACATGAAACAGCAATAGTCAACTGGACACAACCCACAGCATCCGATAACACTGGCGAGGAAGTGACCATATATCAGAGTCTGACGTCACCGATTAACCTAGCTGAGGGAGTATACACTGTTACAGTGGGAGCAGCGGATGTATCCGGCATTACCACTACTTGTGTCTTCAAGATATCAGTCACAGGTGAGAGAGGGGCGGTGGGGTAGCCTAGTGGATAAAACGCTGGCTCATCACGCCGAAGACCCGGGTTCGATTTCCATCAAGGGTACAACGTGTGAAGCCCATTTCTGGTGTCCCTCGCCGTGATATTGCTGGAATAGTGTTAAAAGCGGCGTAAAACCATACTAACTCACTCACAGGTGAGAGCAGTGGATATTTAGTGTAATACAATGACGCTTTTCTTCAAGGTCACCAGTGAGAGGTAAATAACACAGGTGTTCGTAGCCTGCCACCCACTGTTGGGGAAGGGGTGAGAGAGTGAATATGGTTTTACGCCGCTTTTACCAATATATTTCAACAATATCACGGCGTGAGACACCGGAAATGGGCTTGACAATATTGTACCAGGTCTTCAGCTTCACGACCGCCCCTCACCCATATGGTCAACCACGGTTTCATAATGTTCCCCTACATCACATAACAAAAAGGTCCCATTGAATGATGTTACACTGACGAACATTTTTCCTAGTGTTTTGTTTGCAGTGTTGACATGCGCCGACCTCAGCCCTCCTCCGAATGGATATATCGATTCAACCAGCTGTCGGTCTTTCTATGGGTCTACTTGTCACATTAACTGTCGCCTAGGCTACACTCTGTCTGGTCCACGTGACATAACATGTGACATCAACACTGCTGGGGAAGCTCGCTGGACAACTGGTACACCAACCACGTGTGTAGGTCCGTAACGTTTTTAATGGGAGAATCAATGAAATATTCTGAAAAATAAAATGTCTTGAAATCCTAAAAACAAACAACTACTGAGACTATTTCTCAGCACGGATGTTGCAATATAACGAAGATGTTGTTCTGATGATGGTAAAAGGCGATTCACTTATCTCATACATATATTGAAGATAATTTATCATCCCAAACAAGCTCCCACAAGAGATATCGCTTGGGTGAGATCAAGCAATAACTACATTTTAGATATCGCTGTGATGAAATTGCATCACAATACTTTGCAGACCATTGTGACGTCATTGGTTACCATGACGTCACAATCAAATAGCACCACTAATGGCTCTTCTACTGCAGCTGTTAGCAGTACTGTTTACACCTAAGACACAGCTGGTTACTGTCTACAAACTAAAAAAAGTTTGAAGAATGATGGTTGATAATTAAATCTCACCCTTGTGTCTTTTGATATCAAATATATCAACACTCGTTGATAAAAGTGGAAAAACTCCTCTGCACGATATATTTGATATCAAAAGACATTTGGGTGAGATTCTCTATATCATCAGTTTCATTGAATCGTTTATGTTTTGTTCATACAAATATTTCTGATGAAAGTCAAGTTTTTCGTTCAGAATTGCAACACCACTTGTTGCTTACAGTCATAAAAAAATCATAAAATTCGTTTGTCTCCCACACAATATCTAGTCCGAGACTTGGAGTACTTTCCTCCATATTATATACTTTATTGACATGGAAAACAACTTCTCACAGCTATCATCTGCCCGGCACCAGAGTCTCCGATCCACGGCAGATTGCTGAGCTGTGAAACGCCATACAGTTATCAGGAGCTATGTGAACAGTCTTGTCAAGATGGCTACACGCCTATCAGTGGTACGACGATCAGGCGTTGCGAAGAAGGCAGCTGGTCAGGACAACAGCTTGTTTGCGCCAAACCAAATGACACCAGCATTGTAACACGTCGTAAGTTTATGTCGATTTTATCGCAATCATTATTGAAGGCCCTTACTTCCCACATACATGTATACTAAAACACAGGTATCGTTTATGTATTTAACCGGTAGATGTGTGTGTATAGGCAGCTGTTTTAATATATGAACAATATTAGATAATATGATACATATATACGCGACTTAAATGCGAAAAACGCGAGTGGTCTTTTTTCGCCTTAATGAAACTTTATGTCTCCAAAATGACATTAAGATGGCCTCACAGCACTCTTTAGACAGCGGAAACACCAACTTGAATATAAACACAAACACGGTTAATTCAAGGATGTTTTAAGGATTGTCAACACCTTACCCGCGCTCGTGGGTTTGACCGAAGTGGCAAACGTCTGAGACCTGCATCACTTCGGGCTTTCCTCCCACATAAAGCTCACACGCCGCGATATTACTGGAATGCTGTTAAAAGCGGCGTTAAACCCAACTCGATCACTCACTTGACATTTTCACTCAGAAACCAATGTAAGGTTTATTATGTTGGTGATACTAAAGTCTTTAAACCTGTGACGCAAACGCACGACAACTCACTAGGGTTGGCAAATAATATGGCCAGGTGTCTTGCAACTCTTCAATTACAAGAGACAAGCTGGACCTTTTTTCTGTACAAAACACATATATCACCAGGCTCCGATTTCTCGAAACGAACTCAAGGTAAAAAACTGACTTTTGTGTCGAAAAAGGGCCAGGCGTTCCAGAGTCTAAACCTTCCTATCTGTCGAGATGCGATGGAAATGAATGTGTTAATCAAAATATAACCAAAGGTCTCTTTTACAGATAGTTCGTGTCATTCCCTGGTAAATCCAAGTCATGGCAACATTCTCCCACGTCTCTGCGTCGGATCCGACCTTCTACCCGGCACTCGCTGCACACTGACCTGTGATGAAGGATACCACGCACTGTCGACCATCACACTGACCTGCAGCAGCACCGGGCAATGGAATCCCTATGGCAACCCGCTGGTGTGTCTGTCTTCAGCCACAGCAGGTAACACTTTGAGAAACCTGGCACCAAGTTCGCGCTCATTGTCAGCCCTTAACATAGTCACTTATTCGACCGACCTACCTGTCCCACCCAGGATAATGAGAGCGTCTTGTGGTCAGCCCTTAACATAGTCACTCATTCGACCGACCTACCTGTCCCACCCAGGATAATGAGAGCGTCTTGTGGTCAGCCCTTAACATAGTCACTCATTCGACCGACCCACCTGTCCCACCCAGGATAATGAGAGCGTCTTGTGGTCAGCCCTTAACATAGTCATTCATTCGACCGACCTACCTGTCCCACCCAGGATAATGAGAGCGTCTTGTGGTCAGCCCTTAACATAGTCATTCATTCGACCGAGATACCTGTCCCACCCAGGATAATGAGAGCGTCTTGTGGTCAGCCCTTAACATAGTCATTCATTCGACCGACCTACCTGTCCCACCCAGGATAATGAGAGCGTCTTGTGGTCAGCCCTTAACATAGTCACTCATTCGACCGACCTGCCTGTCCCACCCAGGATAATGAGAGCGTCTTGTGGTCAGCCCTTAACATAGTCACTCATTCGACCGACCTACCTGTCCCACCCAGGATAATGAGAGCGTCTTGTGGTCAGCCCTTAACATAGTCACTCATTCGACCGACCTGCCTGTCCCAACCAGGATAATGAGAGTGTCTTGTGGTCAGCCCTTAACATAGTCACTCATTCGACCGAGATACCTGTCCCACCCAGGATAATGAGAGCGTCTTGTGGTAGGAAATATATGAACACAAGTTGATTCACGTAGCCAATCGGGGCGGTCGGGTAGCCTAGTGGTTAAAGCGTTCTCTCGCCACGTTGAAGACCTGGGTTCGATTCCCGACATGGGTATAATGTGTGAAACCCATTTTTGTGATAATGCTGGATTATTTTGAAAGCGGCGTAAAACCATACTCACTCACTCATGGGACAAATTCCCGAGGTTCAAACATGGATTTCTTCAATTCGAATGAATATTTTGCAACCAAACTATTTCATATTGCTGTGGTGTTGCATCAATGTCTGGTGAGAAGATGTGACCTACCTCAATGTGTACTCACGTGCACCGACGTAGTGAATCGTTTCTTATGCAGGCAACCACTTCTTTACCTCGCTGTGGTAATGGTAACCTTTGATGATGACAAGGGTAAAGTCACTTTCGAATTCAGTGCATGTTCCTAATGTGAAAATTGGTGTAAGCGTTAGAGCCATTGCCAATATCCATAGGCGTACGCGTCCTTTAGCCATGCAAGAAACCGCTTGTCCTGGTTTCTAATGCAATAATAATATCTATTGTGCCCACATTTAGTGGTCACGAGATGACATAATTAATACGATCTTCATATCGGCTTTTAAAAATAGCCCTCAAGCTTGTGTGTTTGTAAAACCAATTAAAGCCTTTGACTATACGATGCGCAACAACCATAGGGTAATTCTCTTTGTGTGACATGAACTGTTGCATGGTTTTATTGCGATAGTAAGTCTTTATGTTGATGCTTACAGCTACTTCAAGTACCTCACATAATGCATGTGCTAGTATATAAAAATGTTGGATATTGATGAGGTGAATTCTAGTGAACGCGGTAAGAGGCGATTAACGGAATCGGGTGGTCAGGCTCTCTGACTTGGTTGATGCATGTTACCGTTTCCCAATTGTGTGGATCCGATGCTCATGATGTCAATCACTGGATTGTCTGGTCCAGATTCGATTATTTACAGACCACCATCATATAGCTGGAATATTGCTGAACATTAAACAAACACACAAACACCTAGTGCAGGCGTGTTATGTTTACAATGAGTCTGTGAATCTGTTAACATCATTTCAGCTACAGCACCTGACACATCAACCTAGTGCAGGCGTGTTATGTTTACAATGAGTCTGTGAATCTGTTAACATCATTTCAGCTACAGCACCTGACACATCAACCTAGTGCAGGCGTGTTATGTTTACAATGAGTCTGTGAATCTGTTAACATCATTTCAGCTACAGCACCTGACACATCAACCTAGTGCAGGCGTGTTATGTTTACAATGAGTCTGTGAATCTGTTAACATCATTTCAGCTACAGCACCTGACACATCAACCTAGTGCAGGCGTGTTATGTTTACAATGAGTCTGTGAATCTGTTAACATCATTTCAGCTACAGCACCTGACACATCAACCTAGTGCAGGCGTGTTATGTTTACAATGAGTCTGTGAATCTGTTAACATCATTTCAGGTGCAGCACCTGACACATCAACCTCGTGCAGGCGTGTTATGTTTACAATGAGTCTGTGAATCTGTTAACATCATTTCAGGTGCAGCACCTGACACATCAACTCCAGTGGTGGCGGGGGCAGTGACTGGTATTATTATTATTGTGTTGATCATCGTCGGGGCAATACTTCTTCATCTGCATATGTACGTACACTCAGTCCCTTCTATGTCTGTCTCTGATATTCAAACGACTTAATTGCTTAAATCTAAATAATCTTTACAAGTCTAAGCGTGTGTATGCTACTCTGCTCATCGTGCACCATGGTGAGGTGAGGTGAAATGGCGTTTAACGTCGCGTCAAACGTATTGCCCTTATATTGCGACGTGCATGCATGTGTGGGTGGGTGGCTACTTGTACTAGCCCGGACTAATGTCGGTTTTACAGTGCGTGCCCGCTGATACACCATACCCCTTTCAACATGAATACCCTACTAAGACACAGCAGAGCGACTCCGAGCAGACCAGTCCTTGTTCTAGCCTCTTAATGCCTAACGCCAGACAGGGTAACAACAAGTACTTTCTTGTAATGTCTTTTGATATGGCGCGGCCGAGTATCGAACCCCGGGCCTTCCGCTTTCCGGGCGGGTTCTGTGTATAGTGGTTTAAGGCTGATCTAGTCTTAACGTTTTGAGTGTTAAGTAGAAATGTAGGTAAACGTCTCCTTGGTTAATGAACCATTATAAGGAGGGTGGTCAAAGAGAAATACCTTATGATTTACCACGACCATAGATGTATAGTCGTCTACCAAGACTGGCCATTGATGAATGAAAATGAACAAATGTCGCTGAATCTAAATCCATTAAAAATATACATTTGATCACAAATAAAAAATTCCAGTTACTAACTGAGGACTACTTAAAAGTTTTGCCGTCTGTCCATTGTCTTGAAATACCGCCCCAGGAAAAACTAGTGATACTCGGTACATTGGGCCATAGATGTTTCTTCCAGTGATCTAATAGCGGTTAACGACCCTTTAGCCTATGCTTGACACCTCTTATGATGGCGTGTGTTGAGTACAGGAAGGTATTAAATTATGAAACAGGCAACATTTTGCTATTTGATGTTTTTATTTGTATTTTATATTACCACCTAAATCCATTGTTGGAAGATACCACAGTTTAATGTTGTTGCTAGGCTGTACATGTTCGCGACCTGGATGAGCAGTGGTTTGATTGCCTACAAATAAGACGCCATCATACACGGTTGGTAACTGTCATAACAGCTTGATCAACGTGTGTAAACAAGATGAGCCCACTTATGACCTTCGTTATACATATGCAAAATATATGTATTTGTGTGTGTGTGTACATACATACATACATACATACATACATACATACATACATACATACATACATACATACATACATACATACATACATACATATATATATATATATATATATATATATATCATTGGTCCCGCCAATTTGCAGAGAACCTGCAAATAGCAGTATACTCTAATATGTCAAATTACAAAAGCAACGTTCGCATTTTGTTCATATTAATTTGCACTCGCATACATTTCACGATTTAATGTATATCAGCAAGGTCAGTAATCATGTGTTAAACATTTACATTTTTCTTACACCGTTTTGACGCTGGAGTGACCAGGTGGAGGTAACTAAACGGATCGGGTGGTCAGGCATGCTGATAAGGTTTGATTGTATGTCATCGTTCCACAGTGTAAAATAAACGGTCATAGTGTTAATCACTGGACTCTCTGACCGTCACATAGTTTAAATGTAGCTGTGTTAGTCGTTAACCAACAAATATACAATTATATTATATTACGATTCATTACTCTGCTTCAGGAAACGCCGTCCTAGAGGTAAAGTGACCGATGATGAGCAATGTTCCAACAGAAGCACTAATGGAATACAAAATCCGACCTTTGAGAACTCAAGTTGTTCTTAATTTAGATGATCTGCCATTCTCTCTAAATTATGCTTCCCAGAAGACTGTTTCCTATATGCCACAACTCTGCAATGAAACACACAAACTTTTGCATGTAAAACAAAAAGAAGATTGTGGTGGTTATTCAGACCTGTTGCTGTCTTGTTTTACATTCGTGACCAACTTAGTTTGAACATATTTTCGTGACAAAACACAATAGGACTGGACAAAAGTCTCTCATTTGTGTACATTTAATATTTGAATGTTAAAGTTCAATATATTCCACTCTGTTATAATATTTGTGCGTGTGTTGCATAAACATTGTACGATTGGCCTCATTGCCTCTTATATGAATAACAGTTTGTCTGTGTTGTCTGAGTGTTGCGGCAGGTACAATTTTGATTTTGCTATTGTTGATTTATTTTAGATATGAAACATAATATAAAGGCTTACTTTAGGACGAACGCAAGTATGAATTTATATGAAACATGACACAAATATAATATAAGGGAAACTTGAAAAAATGTCCTTCGATATTTCCCCCTTTTCTCATTAACTTTATGCTGACATTGAAATACGCCTTAGGACACATGGAAATGCAGCATTTAATCAAGAGTTGTGTTGCCAACCCTTATCCTCTGTGACGACAATGATGTCATACAATTAAGCATTGTTACACTGCCATGTGGTTACACTTAAGAAATGTTGCAGAGATTACACAATACAGTGATACAATGGTGAGTTAGTGAATTATATGTTAGGTATGCAGGAATTGGAAAACACGAACATGTCAGTAAATCGGAGACATACAGATCAACATTATTTATCGATGTTTAACAATCAATTGAACAGTTTATGTGCTTATTGTTTACTGACTAAAGTAGTAGATGAAAATAATTCATTAATTATAAAGTGTGAATAAAAACAGGATGATTAAGACATTAAAAGTTCACTGTGAAAGAGGAAGATTATAGAACTTTAGCTGGAGATATAAGCGTATTCCTGTCGAAACATGTGTCGGGTATGATCCCAATAACGTCTTGTCGCAATTTCTTTAAAAAGCCGCAGGAAATAATTCCATGCATCAAAACACAAAATGCGTGATTGCGAGCTTTCATTTGACACTCTAATTCAGCTACATGTAAGTATTCTAAATAACGTTTAATTTGAAATAAAACACATATTGTTGCATTAGAATGAACTTTTTGCGGCAATGACATTTGGTCAGTTATTTTTTTTGAACTTACAGTATCGGTTCGGGACAGCAATAGCTTGACCGCTCGCGTGTAATAATAATCATCAGTGACATGAACAAAGGATGAAGTCACTAATATAAACCACAGGTTTATGACTGATTGGGGTCTTTGATGAGTTGACTACCCTTGTGTGTGCATAAAAGGCTTCTCCACTCCAGTGTAACTACATCTGATATCTTCTCTACTTTTTGTGACGAAGCTAAATGAACGCTACGCTACTGCACGGCAATCTAGACTGAATATTCATCTGACACGAAAAAAACACATCACAATAGAAACAAATGTGAAAAGAATCGTGGAGGTCGAGATAAAACATGACTCATCACAAAACCAAACTTGCCTTCTTCGCTGCTGTGGCCATACCCTGTTGCCCTGAACCCATCGACTTCGCAGCCGACGTTGCAGGTCCGTCAAAATGACACTTCGAAATGGCCATCTAAAGCGAATACCTTTTGCGCGTAAACGGTTCCTCACTATCTGGGCTGATATCCTATACAATCCTGGTATGGTTATATCTGTAGAAATGGACGTCGTGTTTTGTTCACATGAGTTATGTAGCCGTATGAATCTGTCCTGTGCCATGGCAGTGATACGTGGTTGACCGGATCTGTGAATGTCACAGATTGTCCCGTGTGTCTGATAACGATCCCACAGTCTTGTAATGGTTCTTGGAAAAACCTGGCTATGGCCGAATATCATTTACCTGGATTGCGTTGATGCGTTGGGCTTCCGTCAGGCATGGCATGTTTTCGCTGTTCACTTGCTGTAAGATTGTGATGGTATGCAAATGTAAACACAAGGTTTTTATAGCCCAAACAGAGATGTTGCACGTGCATGTCATGTTAGTGTGTTTCGGCGCCAGGCTCTCACATGGTTGTGTTTTTTGTTCTTTTCACCAACTTTCTGCACTACCTCATTCTCATTCTCAACAAACATTAATCATAATCATGCTGAATTGTTCTGTTTTTAATTGTGTATGACTATCGACAACGCTCTGTCAGATATTTACGATTTTCCTAGTTGCGTTTCTTTTTTGCAGAGTATAATTACGAAAGAAGTGTATGTGTATAGGGTATCAGGAAAGAGATTATGATCCTGTGTCCGACAGAGCCATACTCATGTGTCTTGATCTACCTGCAAGTAAGATCTGTCTACTGTCGGCTCTCCTTCTACGTTGCGCTGACAACTTATATCACTGAAATCACTACCAAGGCAGTTTAACTCACTAACTCACTCGTGGTATCTGATATGGTACCCACATCTGTATTTTTTATCAATTATATAGGAAACATTAAATAAGAATACGTCTTTATTTCTGCATATAACAATAGCAATATAATATATGTGTGTTCATTTGGAGAAAGTCTCCATAGTGTATCAACTCAGAAGTTCTTGAACATTCCTCAACCCTTGACACATATGTTTTACCCATAAGTTGTCGTGTAGCAATACGGCATACATCGACAGTACACACATATTTTGAACCAAGATTACCACACAAAGCAAACGACTAAACGTCTACAACGAAGTTCCATTGATATATTTTTATAAGGATAAACTTCCTCTCCTTTCATTGCATACACATCCGTACCCGAAACACCGATTACATAGATTCTGTCACTGTGATACGACACACTGCATGGTCGATTTGATAACTTGATAACTGTTTCATATTTTAGCGAATTGGAAATCCGCATGACCGCCTGACCGTCTAGGGCGTATACGACGTGTCTCTTGTTGTCGTAACTTAAAGCAAAAACTACACTATTAGCTTGCAACTTTGTCACATTTTCTGCTTTATATGTACTGAAAACAATATACTTTCGACAATTTACATACATCATTGTCCTTTCAGGATCCACCGCTATGGAACTAGGAACCCGTTTAATATGCTGCCTATGCAGAATAACATGGAAATGTTTGCCCTTTGTTGTCATCACTACCACTGTACGATTTCGAGTTGAAGCAAATATCAGTTGTCTACCTTCATCTACCGCCATCCCCAAGACTTTAATGCCTGTGAATAAAACGGTACCAACATCCGTGTCTAAAGGATATGATAGGATCTGATGTTGTTTTGCAACAAGAACTGTTTTTAGTCGAGAATCATATGCCATGGCGTACATAAACCCTATGGTCAGATAAGGTTCCTTCTGAACCGACATGTTTTGTAAATTAACCTGAACAATTTTTCCCTCATTATAAACATGCCATATTAAAAGTCTTGTCTTATTGTTGAAGAGTTCCTGCTTTCCATTGATGGCATCAACTGAAAAACAGAATGATAAAATGTTTGCAGACCATGATTTGTATCTTAAGTGTAAGTAAACAATTATAGTCACATCGACAAAATTGCATCCATATCGTGACTGACTGAATGAATGACTTTATTTCGTAAGGGGGTCACCGGACCATTATACATTGTTCATTAATCGGTATCCATTGTTACGAGGGAGCGCCAGATGATAACAGAGTACATGTATATAAAACTAACAATGGTACAAAAATAGAGCAGATCATACTAAAAAGATCATTTCTTGTCCACAGGGGTTTGTCCCAAACGATTACTTTATGTAAAATTGTTTACAGTGCATAGATAAAAAATGAAGCTTTGGAAAGTATCAGTACTTATTTACAAAAGAGTTTGTCACAGTAGATAAGTACATAAATTTTGTTTACAGTGTATATATGAGCAATAAAGTTTGAAAAGTAAAGCAGAAAAGTAAATCCTACAAGAAGCATCAGTTCTTGTTTACAAAGCGTCTATTTCACTCGACCACTGGGGACTGATTTATTGAAAGCCATTATTAGATATGTAGTGAGTATCAACCCAAATACATGTGGTTTCCTCTAAATTCATGTTCATATTAATCATTGGTTTAGAACTTTTCCCTTTTCTTAAATGCAAGAAAAATAAATGTTCCTATGCTGTTTAACATTGTGATGTTAGAAGATACAAGTAAACTATGAAGCTTTTGCTCTGTCTTAAATCCGAATCGAAGTTACATTCAAGACAAAAATGAAACTCTGTTCTCCGAGGGACAACCATTGTACATCGCTTTACCCCCTTCGAGGGTACAGCCATTAACATTCTCAGTTATCACATTTACTGTACCAATTACCAAAAAGTACTTTATTTTATGCAAAACATATCAATCAAAACAAGAATTAAATCAAAATTATATATGCTATATATGTTAAAATGGCCAGTGATTCGGCTGTAACAATGGAAGAGTTGCCTGGGTATCTAGTTGATAACATGTCTGGCAATTTTGTTATTAGCATGTAAGTTCGAAATGTTTTATTGTTTTCTGACCGAATCTAGAGGGTTTATCAAACTACAGTGTTTACCTTCTTTTTGCATTGTCTCACAATGCCAGTAGTGTTTTCGATCATACAAACTCTTCGCAAAGTGTGGACACATGCTCGTGTTTCTGTCCTAAACATAGAATAAGTGAAACACAGTTACACTATTATATATTTGTCTGTTAGGCATATGATCCATATTTAGAATGTCGTTCTGAGTCGGCTGTGGTTTGTTACTTGAGTCCACAAATCAAATTCATTTTGATATGTGTCTTTTTTTCTCAAAATCCTTGTTGCTCTCGCTGAGTTGTGTTCCATGGACACGCCAAAAACCTTTGATCATGTTTCGACTCCCGCTCCTCTCTCTCTCCCCCAGACAACCCAGTGATTGACGTCATGAGCATCGATCCACGCAATTGGGATACGATGACATGCATGCATCACCAAGTCAGCGACCCTGACTACCCGATCCCGTTGGTCGCCTCTTACGACAAGCATAGTCGCATTTCACAGCAAGCATGATTTGCGCAAGACCAATTCAACACCGGATCGTCACGGGTCCGCAAAATATAATGCATATATGGCGAAACGTACCTTTTCCGGGACAAAAAACATATATACCAGATAAGCATGTATTTTTTAACATTATATTAGCCTATGATATATCTGTTAAATGAAAATACCCAGAATGTGAGTGTGTTATGCAAATAATGATTCCCC